AAAGAACAACAGTTATGAAAAAGATGGATAGCCATTTTTTCTCTCTTCCAAGGATGAGGGATCAGGATCATGCATTTTCAGACTCTTATCTCTGTGCATGCTCCCTAGGAACCGTCTGAAGATGGGGGTAGGGGGTAAACTCCCATTCTCACACCTACCTGAATCATAGTTGACTTGCTTAAGAAACTATCAAAGGCTGAGAAATTGGTAATGTCGTATGGGGCAGGTATCTCTGTGGGAGGCTTGACTGTATTGTGGTAGCACTGTATGTTCCTGTATGTTTGCTAGAGCTCTGCGAATGGCCATTGCTGGGCTCTGGATCAGGAGTGGCACAGTATGCTTAGTTTGCTCATGTTTGTTGTGTGTTCCATAACTAACAGGAAGGAAGTTAGTCTTCAGTGCAGTTGGCTCACCTTTCGCTACCCCACACGGGATAGTTGAAAGTAAAAAATTATGTATCATATCAATAGTCAGCAACTTTATTCAACCCTCGGGTGGAATAGATTCAAAATTTAAATTGAGGCATCATTTGTTTTTTACAAGTCTTTTGTCTGTTTGTTGCCTTAGTTGTGCTGAGAGCACAGCTAGATTTATTGTTCTGTCATCCTTTAACTCTTTTATACTTCAGCTGTTGTTATCCCTCAGAGCTTCTCTTGATGCTGAGTGCCTGACGGCACTACTGTTAGGAATCCTACTGCGTGCTTTGACACTTATGAAGTCTGAATTGAGCTTTTTTCTGATGCAGTGTAAAATTTTTGCAAATCACAAATCTATAAAACCTTCCCATTTTCTTTGGGGACAGGGACCATCTTTTTGTTCTGTGTTCGTACAGCATTTAATATAACAGTGTCTTGGTCCAGGAGTCCTAGTCCTGGACCAGGACACTATGTGCTATAATAAAGCCAGTAATAAGTAACACTTTTTCAAAGAATGTTGAGAAAACAAGCTCCCCTGAGCATCCATGGCTAAGATTAATTAATATGTTGCTCTGATTTCTACTCAAAATAGGAATAAAGGGATACCATCAAGGTCAATATTTACCCTAATCTAAAAGAGTTTAAAGTACTTAAATGTTACTGGAGTCTTGGAAAAATGTATCCTTAATAAAAATCCAACTTCTATAAGGAAAACAAAAAACAGTCAGTGATAGTTACTTGATGACCCCACAGTATGCCAACATTTTTATGGCTGACTTAAAACGCTTCCTCAGCTCTTGTCCCCTAACGCCCCTTGCGCTACATTGATGATATTTTCATCACCTGGACCCATGGAAAAGAAGCCCTTGAGGAATTCCACCATGATTTCAACAACTTCTATCCCAGCATCAACCTCAGCCTGGACCAGTCCACATAAGAGATCCACTTCCTGGACGCTACAGTGCTAATAAGCGATGGTCACATAAACACCACCCTATACCAGAAACCTACCGACTGCTATACTTACCTACTTGCCTCCAGCTTTCACCCTGACCACACCACACGATCCATTGTCTACAGCCAAGCTCTAGGATACAACCTCAGACAGAGACAAACACCTACAATACCCACCTGCTGAAGTGAAGAAACAGATTGACAGAGCCAGAAGAGTTCCCAGAAGTCACCTACTACAGGACAGGCCCAACAAAGAAAATAACAGAACTCCACTAGCCGTCACCTTCAGCCCCCAACTAAAACCTCTCCAGCGCATCATCAGGGATCTACAATCTATCCTGAAGGACGATCCCTCACTCTCCCAGATCTTGGGAGACAGGCCAGTCCTCGTTTACAGACAGCCCCCCAACCTGAAGAAAATACTTACCAGCATAAAAACACTAACCCAGAAACCTATCCTTGCAACGAAGCCCGTTGCCAACTGTGTCCACATATCTATTGAGGGGTCACCATCTTAGGGCCTAATCACATCAGCCACCTGCACATCTGCCAATGTGATATATGCCATCATGTGCCAGCAGTGCCCCTCTGCCATATAGATTGGCCAAACTGGACAGTCTCTACGTAAAAGAATAAATGGACACAAATCAGACGTCAAGAATGATAACATTCAAAAACCGGTCGGAGAACACTTCAGTCTCTCTCGATTAGACCTAAAAGTTGCAATATTACAACAAAAAAACTTCAAAACCAGACTCCAACGAGAGACTGCTGAAATGGAATTAATTTGCAAACTGGACACCATTAAATTAGGCTTGAATAAAATCTGGGAGTGGATGGGTCGTTACACAAAGTAAAATTATTTCCCTATGCTTATTCTCTCCCGCCCCCCCACTGTTACTCACACCTTCTTGTCAACTATTAGAAATGGACCATCCTGATTATCACTGCAAAAAGTTTTTCTCCTGCTAATAATAGCTCACCTTTAATTGATCATTCTCGTTAGTGTGTATGGCAACACCCATTTTTTTTCATGGTGTGTGTGTGTGTATCTGTCTTCCTACTGTATTTTCCACTGCATGCATCCGATGAAGTGGATTTTAGGCCATGAAAGCTTGTGCTCAAATAAATTTGTTAGCCTCTAAGGTGCCACAAGTATTCCTCATTCTTCTTGCAGATACAGACTAACACGGCTACCACTCTGAAACTTGATGACCTTTATCATTCATGTTGTACCATTTTTCTGTCATGCATGTGTTGGGTGCAGGCAGGATACTGAAACTTCAGTGAGCAAGATTGCTTCTGAAAGAATGGGCTTGTGCCCATTTTTTTCCTTTCTGATGTATGAAGAGACTTAAAAGATGTTTGTTTTCTTAGTGTTCTGCTTTTTTTATTTATTTATTTTATTAAGAAACAGCAATATAAAGTCTGGCTTTCACTGGTTTTGTTGTAGGTATGTTAGCCGACGGCCAAGGATGTTTGGTGAGGTGCCAGCTATGCCCGTTTATACCATCCGTGACTTTAACCGCTAGGACGCACTGTCCCTTCGCGGCGGGCAGCCCGGGCTAGGCTGACGGATGCCCCAAGGTCCTAACCACCCGTGACTTTAACTGCTAGAGCTCAGAGCTCCTTCGCAGCGGGCAGCCAGGATTGACTGACAGGTGCCCCAAGAGTTTGCCCCATGGAGGCGGCACAACTCAACGCTAGGCTCTTAGTACTCTCACCTAATGGCCAGGCTTTAGAGCCAAAACGGCTGAAGTTCTTTAATTGTGTTGGCTGCTTTACAGTAAACCAGAGAAAACAAGTCAGGCTTATGCACAAATGGTTACCAAAATCTATTAAGCTAGATTCTAATCATGTGGTTACAAAATTGCTAGTGCCTACTTATTTAAATGTAGAGATGTTACACACACAAACAAGTTACAAAACTGAAGCCACAATCCTAAAGAAAGAAAACAAAGTATAGAGCTCTATTTCAAAATATGTGTACACTAAAGATAGGAGATCAGGTGTGGGTGCTTCTTACCCTCCTTGCATCTCTCGATTCCAGCGGTGCCAAGCTAGGATCGGTCACTCAATTCCGCGGAAAGATGAATAAGGGACAAGGCGTAGGGACCCTCTTAGCTGCAGAAGCCTTGGGAGGCTGTCACTTATCTGACCAGCAGATAGATAGTGAAAAGCACTCAAAAATCATGGTGCTGTAGGTCCCCTACTTATACCTCTGTACTCCTTTATTCTCTTTCTCCTTTCTTATGCCAAATTGAGGCTGGTCTGTCTGGGTGACGCCAGCTTTCGCAAGAGTAGTTTACACTTGCAAGGGAGAGAAACAATAAGTGTCGACTACTGGACATTTCTTTTATCAGGGTAAATATTTTCCCACCTAGGATGTTGGTGTGTGTGCATCACGCTATTTAGTAGGGGCTAAGAGCCATGTCTGTCACAGGGCCTCTGCCTGCTGTGAACTTAATTGTCGTATCTGTTCCCAGAGGCACATTGTAGCAGCACACCTGTGCTTTCACAGCTTCAAAGGCTGTGCTGGAATATATGTTAAGTGCCCTGTTCCGGCTTCCTCCTGTGTTTCCAGCAATGCTGGTCTGGGGGGCGGGGGGGAAGGGGCGCTGGTTGTCTGGCTACAAGGTATAGCACATTTGTTTTGAGCTCTTCCTACCTTAATTGAAAGATTGAAATTATTTTTTATCCTCATTTATCTTGTCTAGTCATCCGTCATCTACATTTTTAATGTTTGGAGAGAAAAGAAACTCGGGTCTCACCTGAACACATAGTCTTTTTTTTTTTTTAAACTATTTTTAGAATTGAGAGACCTGTCAACCTTTCATTCGCAGAAAGGGCACAAGCATGTTTGATTTCTCCATGTTCTTGAATCCAAGCATGGAACGGTATAAGGGGATTATAAGGTCACCATGCTGGAAACTTGCAAGTTAAAACAAGATTGTGAATCAAAGACTGACTAGTAGTCACACTTCTATAAACAAGCTTTTGTATGCAGTGAGTTAGTATTGCTATTTAGTAAGAAGACATTAGATAAAGAGAAACCTCTGAGAGTATTGCTAAACACTGTTCTGTTAAGTGTCTACTCTGTTGAGTAGTTTAAGAATGGAGGAAGAGAGAGAGGTTCCACAGATGATTTTCCCATAGGTCATGGATGATACTACATGGTTTAACAATTATTAGTAAATTGTACATGACAAACCGTTATGAATATAAAGACTTCACCCAGACACTTAAGGGAAGTGTGTTGGGGCACACTGTGAAATGTCAAAAGGATAACTTTTGAAATTTTAACAAATACAGCTTAAAGAAACAATTTAGGTATTTTCCTAGATGAAGTTTAAAGCATGTGATGGGGTGTGGGGGGAGAGGAAAGATGGCTTTTATGAAGGAAGGACATAGCTGGAGAAAATTTACATTGTAGATAAACCCTGTACGTCTGTCTCAAATCTTAGTTCTTTGTGTTTTCTCATCACCCTATTAACAAAAGGCTGAGGAGCTGATAGTCCAGAGGTAGAGAAAACTAGATTTTTGGGGGCCGGGGGAGAGGGCCCTCTGGAAAGTTTAACACTGTGTAGTTATCATAAAGCTGAAACTGAAATTAAATGTTTACTGTTGCAGGAATTATCCGATGTCAGATAATTGAAGGACAATTAGAAGATGCAGATCAGCAGTTGGAATTCCTTAACGAAATTCAGCACTCAATTGGGAAATCTGGGGTAAAGGACTACTTCACTGAAGTGTTTTGATTCTAATCTGAAGTTGTGGCCAGGTTGAGATTACTACAGTTTAAAACCTTTATTTTTCTGGAGCAGAGTATTCTTAATGGAGGATGCTTTAACTCAGAAATTTGCTTTTTCTGTCTTTTGGTCAAGCAAAGTTAGTGTTGGCCTGCAAGATGAGGACTTTTTGTTTACTCAGATTTTTTTCTGAGTTTGGGTTGAATGGGGGAAAAGGGGCCCCCTTTTTTTTTAAATGGTGGTGTTGACATTGATAAATTTAACTTATTTATGTGCCTAGACTGGCTCATAATTGCACCATATAAATTGAAAAAGAAATGCATTGTATAGCAAATCTTTATGTACGCCTTACAGTGGTCATTCTTAAAAGTTTTCAATTGCATTATATAATTGTTACAATATTCCTAAGTATAGCTTTTGCTCAGGTCATTGCATCTAGTTATTGCCTTGAAAATGGTGAAGTTTTGTATGGTGCTAGATAAATAATAAAAAAGTAACAAAACTAATATAGTTGGAGTTAAATTTTGTTTTTTTGCAGGAACTGTCTTTCTTGCGTGCAGTTTTAGCTATGAAGAAACCTCAAAGACAAGAAGAAGTTTTTCACTTGTTGAATGATGTTCTGGATACTCACTTTTCATCATTGCATGGCTTACCTCTTGGCATACAGTACTTTGAAAAACTGAACCCTGATTTCTTGCTGGAAATTGTTAGAGAATATCTTAATTTTTGCCCAACACAGGTTAGTAGTATTAGACCTCTTCCTCTGAAAACTAGAATTTATCCAAGGACTCCATTTTTAATATCATTTAATAGGTACAAGTAGAAGGCATTTTTTGAGAAGAATCACCAAAAGTATATTTACTTTTCACATGAAGCAAAATTTGTTTTAAATATTGAGCAACTTTGTGCTGGAATAATTGCTAATTTACATCTCATTTTCTTCATACAAAATGCAGCAGTTATATTTGAGAAGGGGTTAAATGTAAGTGCAAGGTGCTCTATATACAGTTATTTGGTCTATTGTTTGATCTGGAGAATAGAACAGAGTAGAACTCACTTAAATAACTAAATGTGAAGGCTAGATGTTGATCACGTGGTCATCCACACCTATGCAGTTTGTCTGCTCAGGATGTTTTCCCACATACATGCATGCATTCATTTCTCATTTCTCTTCTACGTATAAATACAGGTATAAATGTATTTAATGGTATTTTTACTTTTTAATCTCAAACAAAAAGATAATTTATCCATATTGTGGGTTATTTTTTGTGGTTGAAGATGGCATCCGGTCATACGTTGGGCTTGACGACAGGAATATTTGACCCTCATAAGTATTTTCAGGATACCAAGGAAAGGGCCTTCAAGATTAAGTTAAGATATTGCACCAAGTGTTATCAGTAAGAAAGAGAACAACTGAAAAAACTTTCAAGTATGTTACAGAGGAAAGATCTTAACAAGTAATTGTTGGGCATTAGCTCAGATATTATACAGTTCCACAGACTTCTAGCAAATGTTGACAGTTTGCTATATGACTGTCCTATAATTATTTGCTATGTGTTTTAGTTTCTCAAGAACAGACTGTAAGTTCCATGGTAGTGGAATGCCTCACAACTGCTGTGGCAAAAATTGCAGTGAAATGACAGTGTTTAAAGCTCAAGAAGACACTAACAATTGCAGCATCTTACAAGGCTAACAGTAAAGAAAATAGCACCCAAAAGAAATGTAAATCTGTTTTTAAGTGGCATCTCATCTGAAAAAAATATTTTGAATTTTTTTCTTCTTAGAAAGGTGCATGCTTTATTGAGCTAGGGAATTGGAAAATGGAAAAGATGACAAAGCAATTGCCACCATGTGAACTATATTTGAAACTGAAGGTTTTTTTTTAATTATTTATTTCTGAGACTTCAGCTGGGGGGGGCTGTCGTCCAGAAAGGAATTCTATCAGTGACATTGGCGCTCTGAGTACTCTCAAAGAATTAAAGGAGGATGGAAACTAATGGTTGGACATCTTTTCTTGTAGAAGAACCTATAGGAAGGGGAAATGACAAAACTGGAAGGAGAGCCATGTCTTCCCTTTCACGGAGAAGAGTTTGTGACCCTAGTGAGGAAGAGGAAATGCAGCCTACATAACCCAACTGGGTAGACGTTGGGACATTTGATTACAGGGAATCCCTCTTCTACCGCATCAAATATCCTAAGGAATCTTTCAGCCTGTTCCCCTCCCAGGGCTGCATATTACAGCTGTCTTTGTGGACTAGGAGGTGTGAAGGAAGTTGAAGCTGTGAAGGGAAATTCAGGCTGCTTCTAACATTAAATTCCTTGCAGATTTTCCTAGTATAATTATGCCAGGTTCATAGAAGATCATGCCATGGAAAGCAACAGTTTTCCAACTCCTGCTCTGTGTTCTGCTGAGCCCCAACAACATGGAGGTGCTGTGGTGAAGGGGTGTCCCTGGGTCCCCCAGGGAGTGATGGAAGAACAAAGCAGAGCTCCTGTTGACTCAGGCCTCCTCCTTACCTTTACCTTCCCCTGATTGTACCTGCTTTGATTCCCCTGAAGCCAAATTATTGCTATTTGAGGATCATCTGGACCCAGTGTAATGGACTGGTTTGTGTACAACCAGAGAGAGAAGGCCTGATTCTGATTTCATTTATACAAGTCTTACACTGGTCAAGTCCCGCAAACTTTAATAACAATTCTCTGCATTTACACCGGTATAAATGTGAGTAGAATTTGGCCTCTTATATTTAAAATACATTTCACTGTTTCTTCATGGTGACACATGCTTTTCACTTTTTGAACTTTCAGATTCTTAGGCTGAGCAAAATTAGCAGTGTTTTTTCTTTTTACTAGTTCATGTTCTTAAAATGAATTTTTCAGTTGATCTGTTCTTATTTCTAGCCTGCAAATCCAGGACAACCCCTTTCACCACTGCTCAAACACTGTACCTCAGTTCTTGAAACTGTGGTAAAAACTGTACCAGGTCTTCTACATGCTGTCTTTTTAGTTGCAAAGGTGAAATACTTATCAGGTAATATATGTGTGTGGCTGCAAAAATACAAATATTTATGTATTAAATAAATATTTTTCTTCCATTGTAAAGTACTGTAACAAATATCTGATTTCTTATATTCTGTTCTTTTTTTTAACAACGCAGTATTAAAATTATTTCTTTCCTCTGGGTTTATTACCTGATTGTTCCCTTAAAATGCACTTCTGAAAAAATAGAAATGTAGCATTGATTTTTCAGTAAGGTGAAGTCTTTCATACAGGACTAGAGTGGATGGTTCAGGGACTGGGATAATGGAGAAATTTCTGTCTATGCTGTGGTTTTGTCTTCAACTCTCAATGACACTGATGAGAAGTATTGAGTACAGAGGTGGGCAATCTACAGCCCGCGGGCCACATCTGGCCCACGGGACTGTCCTGCCCGGCCTCTGAGCTCTTGGCCCGGGAGGCTGTCTCCCCCTCCCCAATAGCAACACCGCTGCATGGCACAATGCTCTGGGTGGTGGGGCTGCAGAGCCTGGCCTGACCCTGTGCGCTGTGCTGTGCTGCACGGCCACAGGTGTTCCAGGCCAGTGCGGTGGGGGGGCAGGGGTTGGATAGAGGGCAGGGGTGTGGATGGGGTCGGGGCAGTCAGAGGGCGGGGAATGGGGGCAGGGGTCCAGGGGGGGCAGTCAGGAAGGAGAGGAGGGGTTGGATGGGGCAGCAGGGGGGCGGTCAGGGGACAAGGAGCAGGGGGGTGGATGGGACAGGGGTCCCGGAGGGGGGGTTGAATGGGGTGGTGGGGGGCAGTTAGGGGGGGTTGGATAGGGCAGGGGTCCTGGGGGGACTGTCAGGAAGGATGGGTGGGGGTTTGATGGGGCAGCGGGGGGCAGTTAGGGGTGGGGAGGTCTAGGGGCAGTCAGGGGACTGAGAGCAGGGGGGTGGATGGGGCAGGAGTCCTGGGGGGGCCGTCAGGGATGAGAAACGGGGGGGTCGGATGGGGGCTGGGGCCGGGCCATGCCTGGTTGTTTGGGGAGGCATAGCCTCCCCTAACCGGCCGTCCATACAATTTCAGAAACCCCATGCGGCCCTCAGACCAAAAAGTTTGCCCGCTCCTGATTTAGTAGCTGCTATTTGAGGTCATTAGCAGCCTATTAAATATATGTATATCTTAAAAGCAAGCTGTGAAGCCTTTATCTAAAATATAGAGAGGCTAATGGCTTGTCTACACTTGAAATGCTACAGTACTCCTCCTTCTCAAGAGGCAGTGTCTACATTGGGAGTTAGGTTGGCTTAACTACATTGGTCAGTGGTGTGAATTTTTCAGTGTAGACCAGGACTAAGTAAGAGGCACTTATATTTAATACTGGGCTTTGATTTTTTTTCTCTTGTTTTTTGCTATTTTGTTTAAATCATTAGGTGATATTGAGGCATCTCACAGTGTCCTACAGCATTGCCTGGAACAGAATCCTTCTTATCCAGATGCTCATTTACTTATGGCTCAGGTTCATTTGTCCCAAAACAATTTTAAGCTCTGTTCTCAGTCCCTGGAACTCTCTCTGAGCTACAATTTTGAGGTGAGTTTGATCAAAGGAATTAAATTGTTTTATGCAATCAGTTTTGCAAGACTTCTTCTAGAGCTTGCACAGCAAGATGCATTATTTTAATACTTATCTTTTCACTACAAGCTTGGCATCTGAACACGTTTTTCAGGTGAATAATTTTAATTGCAAGGCAAATTGGGAGTGTGATGAAGTGAGGACTCCAAATTTGCCTATTAACTTGCCCCAAAGTATCAGAATTTTCTTGAGGAGTATAGAAGAAAGAAACTGCTTTTCTTTTCTGATCTCTCTCTATATAGAGAACTGTTAACAGAAATAAGTATTACAATGTATAAGGACATACTATATAAACAGGATTTGTAGTCCCAGAGACATCTTGCAACAAAGTTGTGAGAGGTTTGCATAAAAGAATATAAGAAGGGTGGTCCAAACCCTTACTGCCTTTCAAGAAACCTGGGAACCTCTGTCAGTATTTCCTTGTTCCCTGGTCAGCAAAGCCAGCACACTTAAGCAGTGGTGGTTCTAAAATGGCTTTCCCCACTCTCCTCTATTGTAGCTGATTCAGTACTTGATACTGCGAGGTACTGAGAACTCTGGTCTATTGAAGTCAATCGGACTACTTAAAGTTAAGTGCTTTGCTGGGCCAGGGCCAGCACGCTCAGCAGTTTACACGATTGAATTCTGAGTGAGTATCCCGATAGGGCTTTGCTGCAAGGTGGACGGTATGAGACAAGCTGGTCTTTATTTCCTTTCTAAAATATTCCTCTGCCCACCTTTTGTTCTCCAAATGTTGGCATAGAGAAGCTGAATGAAAAAAATACCTACTGATGTCCCTGAAATTTTGTATGGAGCCACACTTACTCTTTCCATTTGTTCCCCTTAATATAAAAACAGACGTATTCAAGCAGGTAGAGTGGATGAATGCCACAGTGGGTTTGTGTATATAAGTTAATTGCCAAATTATGTATATCTTGGAATGATCGACTCTTTTTTGAAACTACTGTACCAGCTTACTGAAGCATATGTTGTCTTGTCTATGATTAGGAGAGGAGACACAGAAAACACCTGTAACAAGCAGGTTCATTTTAAGTAATGGTCTAGTGCATGCCCTTTTGTCTCTAGATCAGGGTTCTGACTCATGATATTCTTTCCTTTGTATGGTTTGTGGGGTTTTAATTAAAAAAATTGTCTTGCATATTCTTTGAAGACAACATTACTAATAGAATTAATACTACACTTGCTAGACACAAGTATAACATGGATTAGTAGTAAGGCTGTGTGTCTATCATGGAGGTCACAGATTCTGTGACTTTGTGTGACCTCCATGACTTCTGCAGTGGCTGGTGTGGCTGGCTCAGGGGCTGCTCGAGCTGGGCAGCTCCTGGGCCAGCAGTGGTTTGAGTTTGGGAGTGGGCTCAGGGCGAGGCAAGGGGTTGGGGTGCAGGGCGGCGCTTATCTCTGGGTGCTCCCCAGCTCCCACTGGCATGTCCTGGCACTCCTAGGCAGAAGGGCCAGGGGACTCTGCATAGCTCCTGCAGCTTCCATTGACTGCAGTTCCTGGCCAATGGGAGCTGCGGAGCTGGAGCTTGTGGCCAGAGCAGTGTGGCGCCCCCATGGCCACCCCTCCCTGTAGGAGCTGCAGGAACATACTGGGTAGTGAGCCTGCCAGTCCCGGGCCGTGTGCTGCTGTCCACCTCTCCTCCCCTCCCCCCCTGCACCAGCGGGGGGTCAGGCCAACCTCCCCCAGCACCCATGACACCCCCGGACTGCCCCCTGAGCACCCGCAGCCCCTAGCCCAAGTTTTAGTTAGGGGTGTGTAGTAAAAGTAATGGACAGGTCACGGGCCATGAATTTTTGTTTACTGCCTGTGACCTGTCTATGACTTTTAGTAAAAATACCTGTGACTAAAATGGAGCCTTAATTATTAGCATTTGTTATGCCTTTCTCTAAATATTTTAGTTAAATAACAAATTAACAAATTTATTCCTCAGGATGCTTGATTTTTTTTAAGAGTAAAGCAGAATATAGAAACTGATTAATAACTTATATTTCAGGTGAGAGAACATCCCTTGTATCACTTAATCAAAGCCCAGACCCAAAAGAAGATGGGAGAAATATCAGAAGCTATTAAGACCTTGCAGATGGCAATGAGTTTACCTGGAATGAGAGGCACTGTGGCTTTCTCAAAATCAAAAGCAAAAAGAAATGAAATTGATGCAAGTAATCGTGTATCTATCTTTCTGGAATTGGTAGAAGCTCATCGTTTGAATGGAGAACAGGTATGACAATGAGTAATTTAATAAAATGCAGTGTATATTTGAGGCGGAATACAAACCTCAATTATTCCATTAACAAAAGCATCTACCCCTGAGCTTGTCCATGACAAACCCCTACAGTACTTTACAGGAAGTCTTGACTTTAGGAGACTTAACAATTCTACAGACAGAGAAATATCTGAATTTCAAGGTTTTTTGGAGTTTGGTTCTCAGGCTGTTCTGAGACACATACAAATTCTTTGCCATTCTCAGAGTGGAGATAGTTTTCAGAATGTGTGTAGATACTGTTCTGAGGCTGCAGACTGGATGAAACACTTGCCCATCTCTCCTTTAATTGCGAGGCGTTAACTTCAAAGCCCATCTGTGATCACTTAAATGCCATGATCAACCATTGTGCTGCTCATAGTATGAGACTGTCATGGAATCACAGGGTCAGTGCTCCTGGCTCTGTATGGTCCTTGGGAGGAACCCCCTTCAGTGTAATAGCCCACCTTGGGAGTCTCACTCTCGGGGGTTAAGCACTAGACTCCACTGTCTCCTGGAACCGCCCCTCTAAGCCTTCAGTATGTCTGTCTCCATGAGCTCCCTTCAGTGAATCCAATAGCTCTGGACCCACTGGGGGGCCGCCATACCCAGAGGGAGCAATGCAGCCCCAATCTCTAGACTGCGAGTGACTCCCAGCCAGCATAAAAACAAAAGGGTTTATTGTATGTCTGTAACACAGCACAGCAGGTTCTCGGAGGCCTTGACCATAGAAAGTCTCAGCACAGCCCATCTGGGACTGTCCAGCATCCAGGTCTCTTAGTCTCAGTCCAGAAGTGACCACTCCTCCTACGGCCTACTCTGTCTCACCTCCAGGGCCCCTCCTCCATCCTTTTTCTGCTTTCCCAGGCAAACAGATTACCTGGTGTCTCTCTCTTCAGCCCTTGGTTCTCCTGCTCACCAAATTTGGCTGGCTTCCAAGCTGGGGAGGGCCTTCAGGCCATCGGTTGCTAGGTTACAAAGTGTCCAGGCTGCTTGGTGGAGTTACACCTGGTCCTCTTCACCCTTTCCCACCACCTCATTAAACATGCAGCACATAGGGGAAACTGAGGCGCACACAACCTTGATACAAAACATTAAGAAAATTCCCCACTTTTAGACATTTAGGCTAATGTATTTACCCAGTGTAGCTGGATCTCTAGCTCCATCCTGGAATTACATTTGATGGAAAGTGTGTTTTATAGTGGTGCGTACTGTGATATATTCTTATGTATGCAACTGTAATGTTTGTTACTGTCTTTTTGCTACTTGTTCGCCTTGTGTAGCTTTCAGCTAATCATGAGTACAATCCTCTTTTCCGTTTTTAAACATTTTAAAGTATATTGCAAGTATGTTTTTGTCCTTGGTGGTCCTTTGTCCTCCATTTATTTGCAATATAGGCCTCCTTGGATGCATTAACTTGAGGTCAAGAAAAAAAATAATAATTGTGTTTTACAGCATGAAGCTGCTAAAGTGCTGCAAGATGCCATCAATGAATTTACTGGCACCCCTGAAGAACTACGAGTTGTGATTGCTAATGCAGACCTGGCTCTTGCACAAGGAGATATTGAACAAGCCTTAACTATGCTCAGAAATATTACATCTGAACAGCTGTACTTTGTACAAGCCAAAGAAAAAATGGCAGACATTTATCTTCAATACAGAAAAGAGAAAAAGTTATATGCAAGCTGCTATAGGTAAAAACAACCACCACCACCTGTGGTATATACCATAACCTTTCTGTCTGTAAAATATTGATATTCTGTGCAGCGCTTGTTTCCCTCCCCCTAAAATACGTCAAATTATGAAATTTATCTTGGTAGTATAATCCACTAAAGTAGCAATGCAAAGCACTATTTACCCAAGGCAACTTTTCAGAATAAAAAATAACCGAATGAATGGTTGATATATCAGCAATAATTTTTTAAAATAGACTCAGTCTAAAAGGAGATTAATAGTTAATAGTTCTGAGTATTAAGGAAAGTGTATAATTTAAATAATTTAAATCTGCAAGATAAATCTATTTTAATATTTAAACTCCTGCAATATTACATAGTAATAACTTTTGCCACATCATACAAAGACACCTAGAAAAAGAGCAGATACTAAAAGGGCTTTTGAAAATGAACAGTAAATGATTTGTACTCTGTTTAAGGTTTTGACTAAAAGTCTCAGATAGCAAGGAACATTAGCATATACACTTGTTTTTTTTTAAAAAAAATCTTTTGAGTCTTCCTGAAATCAACAGTTTGATTTCTGGTCTTCTTGTAATACTCCAGCAATCACTGTACTGTTACATCACAACTGCCATAAGCAGGTTGTTGGCTTATGGAACGTCAGGTTAATATTTATGGTTTGTTTTTTTAAACCCTTGTACAAAGTTGTGAAGGTCTAAATTCTGGTACACTGAGGTTGAGCAAATACATTCAGTAAATAGCACTGTTGTGTTAAGGGCAAAAGTATACTTATTCTGGGCACTTCAGGCTCTCTTCTCTTCCAAAAAACTCCTCCCTGACCGCTCTGGCCCCCTGTATGATGCTAAAGAAGCTTTCCCCATCAAGCAGAAAATCTTGTCCCTACTTTTCCTGCCAGTGCTAACCTGGTGGCTACATATTCAGCTTGGAACTGCTGTAGGCAAGAAGGTCCCCATCTGCAGGTTTCTGGGCTGAGGAAAAGGGAAAATGACTCGTGGAGAGAGGACTCACTGGAGCGAGGAATGGCCCCTCACAAGTGTGCCTACTTTAATACAAAGCTTTAATTTCAACTAGAATATCCAGATATCTGATTCTCACCATATGAACTTTCAACGACGCTGAATGGATGCAAGCTATTTTTTTAAGTGAAGATACTTGATTCAAGATAACCTTTGCAGATTAGTATCTTTTAGGAAATTTAAGGCTGTCTCACAGTATTAATTTTGATTATTCTTGGAAATTGTCATTCTTCAGGTATGAGAGTGGATTCCACTGTAGATTCGCATGCACCCCATGCATGTGAGTTTTGAATCATTTCAGCAGCATTCATCAAGGCTGCATGGGCACCCTGTGCTGCTTCCTGCTCCCTTGCAAGGGCGAAAAGGGCAGAGCAGCCACAATCCTTCCTCAGTTCCCTCTTAATGTTCCCACCAATGAGAGAGAACCTTGACTGTGCCTGTCCTGCATCTGTATTTTGAATTTCACTTTATTTTTATTTTTCCTCCTTAAAAATTTCAGTTGCATGTGCCAGAAAAAGAGGATATATGGGGGAGGCCCCTGGTACACTCCCTTGTATAGCAGGGTGAAGTGCTTCGTCAGCCATTGAGCAGGGGCCATGTGAATCCTGTCCTTCCTGTGACTGTCTGATGCCTTTCATTGATAGGCACAGCAGATGTCTTTTCTGCCTTGGAGAAGGGCACATCCCTGACAAGTACTCTGTCTGCCATGCCGCCACCTCCTGCACCAGGAAATCAAGGGATGCAAGACTTAAGCTGTGCTGCTTGGAGCACGTCTTATCCCAGAGAGGAGATGTCCTCCAAGCTAGAGCCGAGGAGACTATCTTCAGCAGGTGCCCTGGTAACTAGGCACCACACTTGATCCAGTGCTGGAACTGCATCAAACAGTACTGTCATCCCCAGAGATGTACTTCTCACCATCTACAGGACACTCCTCCTCTACTACAAGGAAAAAACAGGAATGGTATCCTAAAGATTATTCCAGGAGTGCCTCTAACTGGGCTCTGCCATGACTGGCCAATACCAATATTAACTACCGCCATGGTCATACTAGTGCTATTGAGGCTCCACCTTCCCACAGGCCCCAGAATGGAATCCCATTTCACATCTTGACACAGGGTGGAGATCCTGATCACTGTAGGCATAGATAGTCAGAGCACCTTCAATGTAAATGCGAGTATTTACACTTCAACACCATACCATAAGCCTTTACTATGCCACCCCCCACAAAGACAGAGAACACAGTCATAGAATATCAGAGTTGGAAGGGACCTCAGGAGGTCATCTAGTCCAACCCCCTGATCAAAGCAGAACCAATCACCAGTTTTTGCCCCAGATCCCTAAATGGCCCCCTCAAGGATTGAACTCTCAATCCTGGGTTTAGCAGGCCAATGCTCAAACCACTGAGCTATTCCCTCCCCCGCATCTTCTACCCACAGTCTGCAATCAGAATACCTGCTCAGAAAGCAACCCTGCTACTTTAGGAAGCACCAGTCATCCTCCTCCATTGCAAACTAAGCTCCTTCCCAGAAGCTACTGTTTTAACGAGGTGGTGTAGAGCCACATCAGAACTATTCCAGAGTGGACCTTCTTCAGAAACAATTTCGTCCCCCGCCATCAAGCATGACGAGAAGCTAAGGCTGGCCATTAACACCTATGGCTGCCTGTCCAGTTCCTTTCCTTGCCCCCTAGCTGTCCCCTCTCTCACTTTCTTGCTTCAGAGGCCCTTCTTACAAGAGCCTGTTACCCAAAGAAAAGTGTCCCTGTTTCATCTAGGAGCCACAGAAGGGGTCCTGCTGGAGTGCAGAGAAAGATTCTTCTATTCCTGATATTTCATTATTCTGAAGAAGAAAGGTGATCTCCAGCCTATCTCAGCGCTGAGGAGGCTGAACAGAGATATATATGCACCATCTCAGATTCAGGATGGTAATGTTTGCCTCCATTATTTCATCACTTCAGGCTCAGAACTGGTTTTGGCTCTTGACTTATACAATGAGTACTTACGCATGGTCCACAGGAAGTAGCTGAGAATTATGGTGGGGGCCAAACTATTACTGGTTCATGGTATTGCCCTTTGGACTCTCTATGGCACCAAGAGTCTTTACAAAATGGCTTGCTGTTGTGGCTGGATGCTGAAGGGAAAAGGGCATCCATGTCTGCCTATGTCAAGATGACTGCCTGATCAATAGCAGATCACACCAGCGAACTTGGATCTGTTTCAGCTATGCCCTTTCTCTGTTTGCCTTCTCCTGAGCAATGAGAAATTGTCACTTACCCAATCACAGACATATAGAGTTAATCAGAGCCAGAATAAACTCCATGACAGCGAGGGATACTTACCACAGGACTGATTCTTCTCACTTTAGTTGTTACTGAACATGGTGGTATCGCACCCAGCTATGACAGTACGGATTTGCTTCACATTATTAAACCATATGTCTGTGCATACCTTACACCATTTGCTGGGCTTCACCCGAGTCCCCTACAGCTTTTTCTCAGATCAGCCTATTCTCCTGTGAAGCATCTGATGAGCAAGACCATTTTAATTCCATCTCATAATCTTGGAGCATTGACCTGGTGGCTGCATCATGACAATACCCAAAAAGGGATACCATTCATGGCCCTGTAGCCATCCAGTGCATTAGTCACAGATGTGTCTGGGGATCCAACTGGAACAGCTACAGATACAGAGGACATGGTCACCAGAGGAGCTACAACTAAATATTTTAGAGTTGAGTCCTCAGATTGGTGTTTGTGGCATTCCTCCTGGTCCTGTGACACTGTGTAGTACACATGCTGACAGAGTGTGGGTGATGTACTGCATAAACCTGCAAGGGAGTGCCCATTCTGTCTCCTTCTGCAGGGAGGCAATCAAGCTATGTAAATGGTGCCATCTTCAAGGCATACATTTTGAGAGCCATGAACCTTCTGAGAGCTAGCAAAGACTTGACAGATTTCCTGAGCAGACAAGCTGGTATCATCCATAAGTGGTCACAGTTTAAATTGATCTCCCAGCCAATATTCCATCAGTGGGGGAATCTCATGTGATAGACCTCTTTTGCTACCACAGAAACATCAAGTATCTCAACTTTTGCTCCAGAAGAGGCATGATTAAAACTGAGTGAATTTTTTTATGAATTTTTTTTGCAGAAAAGTGCATTTTTCAGGCCCCCAAACGATTCACCGAATAATTTGCTAGAAATTTTTTTTAGAGGTGAATTACTTCATTTTGTCTCTTTTTTGTTTTCAAATTCAGCTAATTTACTACAAAAAAGGTAAACACGCAAAATGGCCAAAAGCAAAACCAAAAATATCTTATTCACTCTGCTATAGACGTGTGCAGGATCCCTGCTTGACGCCTTCAGTCTGCAATGGAATTGGGGCCTTTTTTACCCATTCCTAGTGATTCTGCTAATCTACAGAGTTATTGTTAAGGCCAAAAGAAACTAGGCCAAGCTCATCCCTTATAGCTCCCTCCCGGCTGAAGCAGTTTGTCTGATGTACCTGTTACAGATGTTCACACAACCATCAATCAGACTTCCAGACCATGCAGACTTGCTTGTCGCAAGTATTCCATCTAGACTTGAAAATCACCAACTGATAGCCTGGCTGGTTGGCTGTCTGAGCGTCCTGGAAAGAGACTGCTCCTTCCACCTTCAGGAAATCCTAGTGAGGAGCAGGAAGCCATCCATGAGAATCATCTACTTGTCCAAACAGAAATAAATTCTCAATATGTGTGACCCAGCGTGGTCTAGAGCTGGTACTGATCCCAATACCAAAGATTCTGGACTCTCATTTTAGTTCAGTCAAGTTTCATCTAGCAGCAGTATCCCCAGATCATCCATCAATAGTCAGTTACGGTGTTCTCATATTTCATGGTATCCATATTCCTTAAGGGCCTGAGGAATGCTTATCAATTGGGTTACAGAACTCACTCCAACTTGGAACTTCAACATCCTCTGTCTGAGGCTTATGAAGAACCCCCACTTGAGCCTGTTTTACAGTGCTCCATCTATAATCTTATTCTCAGGAAGTCTTTCTGATGGCCATCACCTGAGCCACAAAGATGAGCAAGCTTGAGGCATTCATAGCAGAATCCCTGTATACCTTCTTACATAAAGACAAAGTGGAATTAATATCTCATGCAAAATTCATCCCCAAGGTCATTTCTGAATTGTATTTAAACCTGTCAGTCAACTTACCTGTGTTCCTTCCTGTAACCGGACGCAGACTCACCTGGCGGCGCCTGCTGCTGGTTGTCCTTGGGAATTAGCGTTCCAGCCTCCCGTGCGCCCTCCTCAGGCCGGTGTCTCGCCTTGCTGCTGGCTCCCGGGTCCCTCCCAGGACCCTGGTGCCCCTTTGACTGGGTACTGCCCCCTGGCAGTACCCCCCAGTTCTGGGTCTCCTCCTCCCAGGGGAACCCCCCACCCACTATCCTTACCTCACCTCAGTCGTAGGCTCCTGCCAGTCACCAGGTAGCCCCTGTGCCCTGGGGCAGACTGCAGGATGAGCCACTCATTACCATTAAGGTTGGGTTTGGACCTGCTGCCTCTACCTACCCATGGTTGCCCCTGCAACCTCCATACCTAATAGGCTTTACCAGGCCCTTAGCCTGGGGCTTTCCTAGGCCGGAGCTCCCAGGCTCCCTTGGCCTTTCACCCGCCCTGCTCCAAACTAGGTCCTCTATTCAGGTCTCTGCAGCCAGGTCCCTCCCTCTCAGAGCTAGAGAGAGTGCTCTTCTGCTCCTGGCTTCCCTGGCTTTTATAAGGCCCGCTGGGTCTGTTTGGGGTGTGGGCCCCAGCTGCGGCTGCTCTGCCAATCAGCCCAGCTCTTCCCTTGCCCCAGCTCTCTCCCAGGGCTATCTTAAACCCCTCTGGGCCCGAGCGGGTGTCCACCCCGCTACACTTCCAAAACCACATCCCACACAAGGGGAGAAGAAACTACACATTCTGGACATAACCAGAGCTCTTATATTTACATTGACATTACCAAATATTTCAGACTGTCTCTGTGTCTATATGTGGCTATAGCCAGCCACTCAAAAGGGCAGGCTATTTCAGCCCAAAGACTATCAAAATGAGACACACCTTGTATCTCGCTTTGCTACCACCTGGCTGATGTACCCATCACTCCAGTAGAGACCAAGTGACATCAGTCTGTTTCAGAAATGTGTCAATCTGCTCATGTTTTAGCGTTATGCACTGAACTTGGCTGGTAGATCAGATGCCAAATTGAGAGAGCACTACTCCAATCTTTCTTTGACTGATGCTGGTCATGCCCCCATCCTGAAGAGGATAGTAGGATAGTGATTGCCAGTCACCTAGGCTAGGTCTACATTATGGATTTTACAGCAGCACAGCTGTGCCACTGTATTGTCTCCCATGTAGCCACTCTTTGCTGGCAGTAGAGAGCTCTCCTGCTAGCACAATTAAACCACCCCCAATGAGCAGCAGTTAATCAGCTGGAGAGCCTCTCAAGCTGACATAGCACTGTCCACACCAGCACTTTTGCCAGTGAAACTTGTTTGTTTTTTTTCACACCCCTGACTGACAAAAGTGGAAGCAAGAATGGTAACCTTACACTACAGAACTGTTGTTCTTCAAGGTGATGTAGTTAGTGTGAATCCCATGTCCTAGCCTCCATCTATGTTTTCAGAGTCCTTGGCTGCCCTGGGCTTCCAATTACGGGGGAACTGAGGGAAGGTTGTGGCAGCTGCCCCCTAACCTTATGCCCTTGCATGGGAGTCACAGATCACATGCATGGCGTTGATGGACACTGCTGTTCAGTAGATCCTCAGGTCACACACATGAGGCAGTGCACATCTACAGTGGGATCCTCACTGACTACAATATCTCATAGAACTATGATTACTGTAGTGTAAGTAACCATTGTTTACATATTCTTCAAAGTACCAATATTAACTTAATTATTAAACTAGATTCTGTCTTTTTGTTTTCAGAGATCTGGTGGACAAACTGCCAAGCTCACATACTTTTCTTCTCCTTGGTGATGCATACATGAATATTCAAGAGGTGAGCATCTGCATCGTGATAAAAGATGAGCAGTGTAGTTGAGTAATTGGCTGTCATTAGCAAGTTTTGATACAGTCTCGCTTTCTGGTTCTGTTAATAGGTGATCAGGAAGCAAAATGTATGCTAAGGAAAATTTAAGGTCTGTTTACTGGCTTAAAGTATATAAATTCTATATTAATTTTAATTTAACTTAAATATTTAGAGACTAAATAAGATACTCAAAATAAAAGGCACCTCAGGGATGAGCATCAGATTTGGGGTGGTCAGGGAAGAGGAGAATTGCAACCTCAGTGAACAACCAAGCATTTTCAAGTCAAATATTGACTAGAGATCTGTGGGTCGAAAGTTGAGGTAAATTCACTTCAGAAATGAAGTTGGACAAGGTTGGAACAGTTCATTCAAGCTTGAAGGAAAGATGTGTAAATTCTAGAAAAGCAAGGTTACCCCAAGAGACCCCTTCAGTGCTTGGAAAGGCAGACAGCATGTGGAGTGCTTGCACTTGATTTTAAATCTTCAAGCAGTAGGTTAGGTCAAAGTCTGTGGGACAGAAAAACTTGAAAGTATAGGTCACTGCAGTACAAAGTGTAGGTGATGAACCCTACCCTAGGGCATAAGCATTTGTCTTCAGTTTGTTCTGGTCATTTGTCCTTTTAAAAAGTGAACTCCAAAGCAAATTTAGAATTTGAGTTCAGCTTGGATTTGTGTTGAACTTTCTGACTGACAAGTCTGAATGGAAGGGAGAGGGGGGACACTGAGTACAGCAATAAGGTTTTTGCATGTGCTTTTTCATAACTTCAGTGAACCAGGAAATGCCAAAAGAATTTCAGAGGACAGAGAAAAGATAAAGGTTAATTTAAAACTTTTTGTTTCTGTGCTGTGTTCTCACAGCTTAACGGGAATTCAGCACAAAAATGTGTAAATCAGTGTGTTATTTTTGAGTCTGCTGTCATCTTAACAGTCTGGTAGAGACCACCTTGAGAAGTCCCATAATTTGTGAAACAAGTAGTATTGAAGCTCGCTTTGTGGCATTAACAGATTGCACTGTTAGCTCATTATAGGCCTTTTAGTATAGTTTTGTGAATTTATCATCTGTTTTTCTTTGTTACTGTTCTAGCCTGAAGAAGCCATAGAAGTCTACGAGCAGGCTTTAAAGAAAAACCCAAGAGATGGAATTTTAGCAAGTAAAATTGGAAAAGCCCTAATCAAAACTCATAACTATTCAAAGGTATGTTATGAATAGTTCTTAGACATGCTGTATAAATGGATTACTGTCTACTTCAATGTTAACTTGTTTTTCTAGTACACATGCAGATAGAAGCATTTTACTATGAAAGTTCCAAAAAAGTGGTTTTTCATACTCCTCAAAATGCCTGGAGTATTGAATGTTGTTTTTTCTCTTTAGCAGGTCTGTTTGGCCCTGATTATGTCTCATGGAAAACTTAAAAACCATTAATTATTTTTAAGTAGAATATTTTTCTTTCCTTATTTTTCACTGCTGAAGACAGCTACTAAAAATAAGGTCTTTGTTGCTAAGGAATTCGTCTGTTCCAGACTGATTATTTCTTTCCTGAAGTTATGAAGCTCATCGGAACCAAATATTGATGTCATAATTGAAGGATCCGGACTTTGGGTTGAAAATAAGTAAATGCATAATAAAGCGTTTTATGTGTTTTATTATTAGTATAGCGTGTTTCAGAATTACAAGATTCAGTTAATTTCATTTGTCATCTTGTAAACAAGAACAGTCCATGCTACGAATGTGGAACAAATATCTCTCAAAATATTCTTTGGGCGCTTCTTACTGTTACTGTAATCCAACAGTATTGTATATCAGCACAAATTACTTTGACATAAATTCTTATCAGTTCTTGAAGTATGTCAGTGTAGATTCCACTCTAGGTATGAATGCATATCATGAACACAATCTTGGAGTCTTTTAAATAGCAGTGTTGATTGGGCTGCAGTGGCAACATGCATGTTCTCACACTCTCCCATCCAAAAGCATAATGGGCAGAGAGGTCACAGCTGCCCCTCAATTACTTTTTACCAACTGTGACAGTGAGACAGTGCCCTCTTGGCACCAAGGACCAGTAATCAAGACACAGGAGATGAACATTCTGCCAAATGTAATTTCCGATAAGTCTCCTCTTCCCAGAGGGAGAAGCTTAACTCTTCATTCTACTCCTGGGAATGGAGCAGTAAGCTCATGCAACAGGGGAAAGTGATGCCGGCTCACTTCTGACTCAGTATCTGAGACCTAAAACAGCGCCTATGTCTAACAGTGTTGGTGACTGCCAACTGCCAGCATCAGCACCAATAATCATTAATTCTGGTGCTGACCTGATGTTAGCAAACTCCTCTAAGTCTCCAATGCTCCCCTTTGCACTGAAGGCACTGTGCTCAGCATAGTACATGCTTAGGGCTTATGATATCAGTGTTGCCTCAAAGATCACTACCATCATTGGAGAGAGTCTCATTTCTTACCAGGGCACATCTTCTCTTCATCTTCAAGCAGAGAGCTCTTGCTCCACCATTCAACCAGATCAGGGAGAGGGTCTTTCTCTTCGAACCAGAGTGCATGACCCCAACTCCTTCACGTCAGGCATGACAATGGCCTAATCAGCTTTACCAAAACCAGCCTTATTCCTACAGTGCTGCACATTGGGCATCCTGGGGACCTCCATTTAGGAGCAGATCTCCCTCCTACCAGTCATAGAAAACGCAGTAGGAGAGTTTGACCTAGATGATTGCTGGTCTCCTGAATATGGACAGAGGAGGAGCATGAACAGTTGGCAGATAAAGAACAAGCAGGTTTTGAGCCATCAGAACAATATCCTTCATCCTTTCCCAAAGATCCGTCATTGGCTTCTTCTGATGGGGCAGTCTCCTGATGATTTTATAGCCTTCCAGGAGCTGCTTTCCCCTAGTGCTGGTCTCTTTTAAAAATTAGAAACATCAGTAAGGGAGGAAAAAGCTTAAAGTTATTAGACATACTACATTCTTCTGCTCCTGTCAGAAGAGCGTTGCAAATTAACAAGGCATTTTAGAGGTGACTAAAACTTATGGCCAGCAACATTACCTCCAGCTAAAAGAGCAGTAGGGAAAAAGGTACCATGTACCCCAAATTGGTTGTAAGCAATTCTACTTTCCTCCTACGCAGTTAATGGGGGAAAAAAAACTTAAATCTAAGAGTGCACCTAAGGAAAAAAGAGACAAACTATCCTCGTTTGGGACAAAAGGTTATTAATGTCACTTTGGCTACAAAGAGTGAACTTTCAAGCCTTGTCCGTGAAGCAGTTATCTAACCTAGAACAAGATAATCCCCTTTTTTTTGTTAAACTTGCGTAGAACATGAGAGGAGTTAAGTCATTATTTCTAAAGGACAGCTAGTGTCAGACACTGTTACAGACAGCGAAGGATACCTCAGACATGGTGCCTAGACATATAGCCACTGCAGCAACTATGTGAAGAATATCATGTTTATTGGACTCTGGTATTCCTAGAGAGATGCAGAATGCAACTGACGACTTGCCCTTTGGGATACGGACTTATTGAGCACATGTACTGATGATCTTTTACACTTCCTAAAAGATTCCAGAGCCATACTGCAAACACTGGACACTTACATCTCTGTACCAGATTGCAAACTTTTCATATAACAAGGGCAAGCCTTACAGAAAATACCCAGCTACTTACAGCAACAATGTTCTGAGTATCCACTCAGGAAGAACCTGAGGTTCTTCTGGAGAAGGTTAACATCTTTCTCAGTCACTAGACGGTGTTCACCTGCTTCTAGACAGTAGGTTTGATATGAGGAAGATGAGCCACATTCAAACTGGACAAGATGCTTACTTTCTCTTTTCTATCAGCTGGGACTGGAATAACAACCAAGCGGTGAGTGAGAGAAGTTGTCTTGTGGCTACCATCCAATTCTAGTCCTTACCCCTCTCTCATCCCTCTTGTGGGACCCTTCTCGTGAAAATCAATCAATAGAAGTGGTATTCTCTTCTTCCAAAGAAAAAAGGGGGTCTTAGTCTTCTTACATCTAGGATAAGACTGAACAAATGTATGTTGTCTTGGTTTCAGGATGGCCTCTGTCATCCCTTCTCTTCAGGCTCATGACTGGTTTGTGGCTTTTGACCTTCAGGATGCCTACTTCCATTTTCTGATCCATCTGGCCCATAGGAAGTATCTGCAGTTTACAGTAGGGCCCAATCAATGTCAATAAAAAGTGCTACCATTCGATCTCCAGAGCTCTGAACGTCTTCACAAAATGCCTAGCTAAGGTGGTAGCACATCTAAGGAGACAAGGCACTCATGTATAACCATATGTAGGTGTCAGAGTAACAGCCGTGTTAGTCTGTATTCGCAAAAAGAAAAGGAGTACTTGTGGCACCTTAGAGACTAACCAATTTATTTGAGCATGAGCTTTCGTGAGCTACAACTCACTTCATCAGATGCATACCGTGGAAACTGTAGCAGACTTTATATATACACAGAGAATATGAAACAATACCTCCTCCCACCCCACTGTCCTGCTGGTAATAGCTTATCTAAAGTGATCATCAGGTGGGCCATTTCCAGCACAAATCCAGGTTTTCTCACCCTCCACCCCCCCACACAAATTCACTCTCCTGCTGGTGCTAGCCCATCCAAAGTGACAACTCTTTACATAATCAAGTCGGGCTATTTCCTGCACAAATCCAGGTTTTCTCACATCCCCCCACCCCCATACACACACAAACTCACTCTCCTGCTGGTAATAGCTCATCTAAACTGACCACTCTCCAAGTTTAAATCCAAGTTAAACCAGAACATCTGGGGGGGGGGGGGGGGGGGGGGGGAGGGGAGGGAAAACAAGAGGAAACAGGCTACCTTGCATAATGACTTAGCCACTCCCAGTCTCTATTTAAGCCTAAATTAATAGTATCCAATTTGCAAATGAATTCCAATTCAGCAGTTTCTCGCTGGAGTCTGGATTTGAAGTTTTTTTGTTTTAAGATAGCGACCTTCATGTCTGTGATTGCGTGACCAGAGAGATTGAAGTGTTCTCCGACTGGTTTATGAATGTTATAATTCTTGACATCTGATTTGTGTCCATTTATTCTTTTACGTAGAGACTGTCCAGTTTGACCAATGTACATGGCAGAGGGGCATTGCTGGCACATGATGGCATATATCACATTGGTGGATGTGCAGGTGAACGAGCCTCTGATAGTGTGGCTGATGTTATTAGGCCCTGTGATGGTGTCCCCTGAATAGATATGTGGGCACAATTGGCAACGGGCTTTGTTGCAAGGATAAGTTCCTGGGTTAGTGGTTCTGTTGTGTGGTATGTGGTTGTTGGTGAGTATTTGCTTCAGGTTGCGGGGCTGTCTGTAGGCAAGGACTGGCCTGTCTCCCAAGACTTGTGAGAGTGTTGGGTCATCCTTTAGGATAGGTTGTAGATCCTTAATAATGCGAACAGATTGATAGAGCCAGAAGAGTTCCCAGAAGTTACCTACTACAGGACAGGCCTAACAAAGAAAATAACAGAACGCCACTAGCGGTCACCTTCAGCCCCCAACTAAAACCCCTCCAACGCATTATTAAGGATCTACCAATGTGATATATGCCATCATGTGCCAGCAATGCCCCTCTGCCATGTACATTGGTCAAACTGGACAGTCTCTACGTAAAAGAATAAATGGACACAAATCAGATGTCAAGAATTATAACATTCATAAACCAGTCGGAGAACACTTCAATCTCTCTGGTCACGCAATCACAGACATGAAGGTCTCTATCTTAAAACAAAAAAACTTCAAATCCAGACTCCAGCGAGAAACTGCTGAATTGGAATTCATTTGCAAATTGGATACTATTAATTTAGGCTTAAATAGAGACTGGGAGTGGCTAAGTCATTATGCAAGGTAGCCTGTTTCCTCTTGTTTTTTCCCCCCCCCCCCCCCCCCAGATGTTCTGGTTTAACTTGGATTTAAACTTGGAGAGTGGTCAGTTTAGATGAGCTATTACCAGCAGGAGAGTGAGTTTGTGTGTGTATGGGGGTGGGGGGGATGTGAGAAAACCTGGATTTGTGCAGGAAATAGCCCGACTTGATTATGTAAAGAGTTGTCACTTTGGATGGGCTAGCACCAGCAGGAGAGTGAATTTGTGTGGGGGGGTGGAGGGTGAGAAAACCTGGATTTGTGCTGGAAATGGCCCACCTGATGATCACTTTAGATAAGCTATTACCAGCAGGACAGTGGGGTGGGAGGAGGTATTGTTTCATATTCTCTGTGTATATATAAAGTCTGCTACAGTTTCCACGGTATGCATCTGATGAAGTGAGCTGTAGCTCACGAAAGCTCATGCTCAAATAAATTGGTTAGTCTCTAAGGTGCCACAAGTACTCCTTTTCTTCATATGTAGGTGATTAACTAATCAAAGGCAGGTCTGATCAGGAAGTCACTATAGCCCTGAATGTCTTTCACCTATTCAGACAGCTGGGCCTTATGGTTAAATAGTTTCTCACCCATCACAGATGGCAGAATTCATAGGAGTCCTAATCAACTCCAAATTGGCAAAAGCATATCTTCCTGAGAACAGATTTTGTTCTGTACAGATCAGCACCGGTATCAAAATGAATCCGAGTAAAACCTGTCTCAAACTCGTAGGTCACGCATCAGCTTGAGCATATGTGACACTGCTAACCAGACTTAACCTACTTCCGTAAAAGGCTAACTGAAGTTATTGTATCCTTACAGAATATCAAATGAATATGCACACTGTTGTTCTAGCTTGTGCTTTATCATTACTGAACTGGTGGTCAGATCCCCAAAACATTTGGAATGGAGTACCCTTTTCCACCCCCACTCATATAAAGATACTGTCCGCAGATGCATCCGGAAAGGTTGGAGCACACACTTAGAACATCTCCAAGTACAAGGAACTTGGTTCCAAAAGTACACTCAAACATTCCAGAATTATGAGCAATTGGGTTAGCTTGCATAACATTCCTACCTGTTTTAAAGAATTTGACACTGCAGATTCTCGCAGACAGCACATCTGCACTGTATTATGTAAACAAACAAGGCCCCTGTGCCAAGAGGCAGTCAATTTATTGGCATGGTATTAACAACGTGGGATAGCCCCAGTAGTTCTCCTCATCCTGGAGTCAGCAGTTAGCCTGTTTTGGACATCTGCTGAATATCACCAACCACAAATGGTCTCTGAAGTGCTTCATCATCCCAATATTTCACTGCTGAGGAAATCCCATTATGGACTTTGGTGGCAAAAAGAACATGAAGTGTCCAGTCTTTTGGTCCTAAGAGGCATGAGCATGGGATCCTTTCAAGAGTCCTTTCTCATAGCTTGGGATCAAGATTTCATGTATACGTTTCCATTGATCTTTCTGATGCTAAGGGTGATCGGACAGGATGCAATCATGCCCCTGTTGATAGCTTGACATTGGCTAAGACCATTCTGGTTGATCTCCTGAGAATGTCTGTTCAGCCTCCAATAGTGCCTCTCATCTGTCCAGACACTATATCTCGGAATCAAGATCAGATATTTGACTCAGGCCCAAAATTGCTACACCTGACGGTCTTGATGTTGATTGCAGTGTTGTCGTAAGTGTTGCTATGTAAGCTCAAAAGCTTGTCTTTCACCCACAAGTTGCTTCATTAAAAGATATTCCCTCCCCACCTGGTCTTTCTAATAGCCTGGATATTGCTAGTTGAGTGCAACTGACTGTTTACTACAAATACAAGAAATCCCACTGCAAAGCATAAAACTGTCCACACGGAAAAGTGGAAAAGACTGTCTATTTGGACAGCCGTTGAAGGCTCCTAGACCTATAATCCTTGATTATATTCTACATTTTTGAAACACTTTGGACTTTCATTTAGTTTTGTTAATGTTGACCTTATAGTGATTTTTGGCATGCCATCCCTCCCCTGGTACAGTCATGTTCAGTTTCCTCTTACTCCAATGTATCCAGAGATTTTCCGTCTCTAACATTTCTTGCTGAATAACCCAAAGGAGAGTAATGTCTAGGATTGGCTGGGAGTTCCGTGAATAAAACCTCTTTTAATCCTTTTGTTTTTTGAGGCAGGTGCTCTACAGTGCTGCCGATATTTAAGCTGAAACAGGTAGTCAGTTTAATGTTTTTGGCATACTTTACACGTGCTATAACATAATCATTTTTTTAAAATATCCTTGAAAATAGATTTTAAAAATTAAACATCAATGTACTTAATTCCAGTTTTAATTTCAGTCTGTTTTTTTCCTTGTAACATATAAAGTCATACATTTTGAAAATTAAGTTTTCTGTAAGCTTATATTTTAATTTTTCAAATACTGTAACTATCACTGTTTGGAAAACAGATAATATAAATGCTTTCCCCACATTTTGTCAAAAAAGCTTCTAAACAGAAATTTTCTAATCTGCTCTAATTGTGACTACTTCAGTGGCGCTGAAAGCAACCCATATGAGGGTACCCAGAAGGTTTTTTAAACTGTTAGCCTTCATTTTTCTTTTCTGTACAAAGGACCAAATCCTGATGCCACATATAATGGCTCATACAACCACTGCATCACTTTAATAGGGCTGTCCTTTTTAAGAACCTATTTTTGTTGTTTTCTTGAGTGATTAAGAGAGTTTTATTTTTAGTTATAATTGCATTTTTTATTTAAAAGTGTAGGGAAAGCAGAAGATATATATATATATATTATTCTTGCCACTTTTTTTTTTAAGAGCACTAGCATCCCCTCTGTTTGCAGATGGACTTCAAAATTGAGCAAAGAGATAATGCTTCGGTCAAAAAAGTGGGTTCTTCTGTCTGTAAATCTAATCAGATCTGGTTATCAGCTCTCAGGATTAAAAAAACAACAAAACTCTGAATGAGGGAGTGGTGCTGTTTAAAAAATAGTGTGAGATCATATAATTAAAGATTTATCAAAATGCAGAGGCCCAGGGAACAGAACTAAGATTGCACAGGCAACCTTACATTTGACACTTCTTAGTTTCTGAGTCATTGACTTTGCAACCTAAAGTTTCTTTTAACATAGTTTTTCTATGTATTCTAGATTGAAATAAATGCCTGCTGTTATCAATTTATTAGTGTTTTTACAGGACATTTCAGTGTGTAATTAGGGTGAGAGTGGAGCAGGTAGTTGCATCATTAAGCAAAATTTCACTAATTACCTAAGTGCAAGGTATTATTTTTATTAAGATTTATTTTAGAAAGCCGATTTCCATATATTTATTAAGTTTTTCGTTTCAGGCAATAAGTTATTATGAAGCTGGACTGAAAAATGGTCAACAGAATATCCTTTGCTATGATCTGGCTGAACTCCTGCTGAAACTGAGGCAGTATGAAAAGGCGGAAAAAGTACTTCAGCAAGCTTTAGACCATGAGCCTGGTATGAACTAGTCATTTTATTTACAACAAAACAGAAATATTAGGGTGTGTGTGTATGTGTGTGTCTGTGAGATTTTTTAGGAATAAATTGGTATAGTGTAGACATTTTATCTTATGAACTTTCAAACTTGTGTTGGCACTGTACTATGAGAATTGCATGTAAATTAAATTTAACTCATTGAAAGGTGACCAGCAAAGGATTTTTAAAATATGGAGTTCAAACTTCCTTACTGCTTTATCATGTGTAAACGCTGCCTGAAAAGTCTGTTATCTGTCTTAGAAATAACTTTTTAAAAGTGAAATCTGGTAGTCTTCCTGGTTTTGTTAGAAGAACACTAGGAGGTATAAGATATGTTCCTTGTGCGCTCATCACAACTTAGAGGGGTGAAGGTGTTTGAATCTTTAACAGAGGCTTCCTTTATTCAAAATATTTATTGGTCATTGAAATTAAATAGCAGAAATAGAATTTTAAGACTGACTAAAAATCCCTTATTAGCTCAACTTTCATACTCTTGGTTTTTGTGATGTCACTATTTCTTTAATTCACTAGTCTGCCAGCCCACACAGGATCTGAATGTTAAATGCTGGAAAGGACTTCACGTGTACAGTTAATCTACTTGTTTGGAATCTGATTGAGTTAGCCAAGGCCATCTGGTTCTGGCTAACCCAAGAGTCACATTTTATACAAATTGTGATTTTTCTGTAACAGTAAAAACAAACTACCCCACCATCACCTTTCACATTTTCTGTATATCACAAGGAAGCAAAAAAGTGCACAAGTCAAACTTATTTTCTTTGTAGAGCCTCTTTAAGAATTTTTTTCCTTATTTTCTTCATGTCCTTACCTGACAAATTATTATTCCATTGGGTGATATGAAACAGTTAAATAGCACTTTTATAAAATGTAGTAGTGCTCCGTATTTTCTTATCCAAAACAGAAATAAAATATTCTGTAATAATCTACAGAACACTAGAAAATGTACTGTGGGGAGTAATTGTGCACTATTTGGGAAATAGAGACAGAAAACTTATTAAGCCATCTAACCTACCTTACTTACACAAAGAGCTCGTTGGAGACAGCCTGCTTATAGAGTGCTGCTCATTGTACTGTGTTTTATAAAATACACTTTAGTTTTAGGCACCTGTGTATTTAATACAGAACTATGTTTTTATCTGGAAGTAATAAGATCTCTTTGGTAAAGAAGTAGAGAGAGAAATAGGCCCTAGATATACCAAACTGTAAAGCAGCCATGCTGTGTCAATTGGGAAGCAGATGAAAATTATAGTATATAATGAAGTGCTTATACTCCTCAAAGCTGTTTCTTCCATAGTTCCTTTCGCAACCACTAAATAAAAGTAGCTTGCAGCTTTTTCAGTAGCCCTTGAAACATTTAGTTAAAATAACCAAAGCTGTGCTTTCAGCACTGTATCTTTTCTATCAAAAATCCATCCAAAACAGGGTGGTTCTTCAGAGTTTAGCAATAGTTAAGTGAAAGCACTGTACAGCCCAGTCCTGCTCCCATTTATATAAGTAGGACATTTCCTATTGATTCAATGGGAACAGGATTAGAACCGTGATTTGCGTATCTTATTCAAGGCATGTTGGAAAGTTTTGGTTTTTTTTTCTCTCTCATGCATTTGAAACTAACATGCGCTGAACTAAACATGCAGCTCCTTTTGGTTGAATCTTATGCAGATCTCCAGTCCAATTTTTTCCTTAACTCTGAAGATGTGCATGCACAACTTTATCTTTCAGCTATGACTCATCCACAAGGTGTCATTAAACTGTCCAAAGGAGGCAGTTCCTACTTTAACTTTTTGTTTCATATTTTAATATTTTAACAGTGAATGGGTTGTCCTCTCTAATGGAAGATGGACGTTACCATGTTCTTCTCGGAAAAATTTATAGCAAAATGGAGAAGACAGATGAAGCTATTGTTTCTTTACAGCAGGTAAAGAAAAAATAACTATGTTAAACTTCTAAGATTTTGTGGGGAGGAGGAGGACTTCTAGCATTCTGCAGAAATAAATTGGATAACAAAGTGGCTAAAGTAGAAAGAAAAGAAATAAATATAAACTAGAGATTGAATTGCTCAGAGGATTGGTAAGAGGATACAGACCTTTTTACCTCTAGGTTAGTGGTTTGATACTGACTGAAAGTATTACTGTTGCTAGCTCTTAGGTGACCTATGAATTAAAGGTCTAAAGTCCAAGTCGCAGCCACATGTTCATGTAAAAGCGACCATAGTTTCAGCAGAGTGGCTGAAGACCAGGCATGGAGTCAGAGCTAGTAGTGGCTGCCTTCGTTCAGGTCCAAACCACACTGCTGAGCAATATGGGGAGTTTGTGGAAGCTGTGCCTGTAGCCTTTCTGTGCATAGAGTAATTGAATTTCAGTTGCTGTCTAAGGGCAGCATTAAGGATAAGGACTGGTGAACTGGGGAGTCTAATGTTAAGACCTAGAATGGGGCTTGAGGGGAGAACTGTAATGGCTAGAGAAAAAGGACAAAGCTGTGGTAGCTAGAGACAGTCTGGAGCTTTGGAAAAGATACAGCACTTCTCCACAACCTGAAAGTTGATCTGACCAAAGAACCTCCTTTCCACTCATTTGCTGAAAGACCTAATTTCAGTGTGTTGGGTTCCAATGATTTCCTCCACTACACGCACAAAAACCTAGGGCTGGACTGCAGATGCAGGGAGCCTCGGCAATATCTTCTGAGCAGTCTGAAAAATTAAACCAGGTGTATTGCCCAAAGGACGTTTGCATAAAAAACCCAAACATTACATGTTAATCTGTTGTAACATTTTGGTATTTCGTATCTTAATAAGAAATACATCGACCTTACTCCCATCTCTTATTTTTGGTCCTTCTTTGTCTCATTCTCTTCCTTCAGCTTTTTTCTTTTTAGAGTTCAGTATCTTCTCCACCCAACTCTCATTAACTGTTTCCCTGCCAACTGATTTCTACATTTCACCCTTTATTTCCTCTGGCTCCTTCATGTTCTTTTACTCTCTTCTTTTACTCTCCTCCCTCTTTGCTCTCCATCTTCTAACATATTCTCAAGTGACTCATTCTCTTTTGCCACTGACTGGGTCTGCTTGCTTCCATTCCCCTGAAGCTCTCCTTTCTCCCTCTGCCTGTCTGCCCATGCCTCCCTCCCACTTTGCTACTAAAATGCCCTGCATTAACTTATTAGTCCCAACTATACATTCACTCACCACCTGCCACTCATTATACCACTCTGTCCCTCCCACTCCTGCCTCTTGGAAGGGGACCCAGGATTGGCCCTCACAGCTCTTTTTCTGGATCTCTTTGCCCCCCCATCCCCTATACACACTATCTGTAGTTTCTTTCTTCTGCCAGAAGTGGATGTAGGGAGGAGGAAATGTAGTTGGGGACTGGCAGAGAAGATCAGCACTTCTCCACAACCTGAAACCAGTAGTCAGGTTTTGTCAGTACTTAGTGAAACAAACAAAGCTTGTGTACAGAACAAGAGAAGGCAGCTTAAAAAAAGACTTGATGTGACGCTTGAGCTGAATGTTTTGTCACATGTAATCAACAGCCTTCATAGGCAGAACTTTGAGAAGGGAGAAGTCCCAACGTTGCTTGACAGTGGTTGTAGGGGGGAAAAAGATGAAGAATATGTGTTTAAGTACAAAAAAATCAATTTTCTTTCCCACTGTCGATTACCAAAGTACTTGTATTGTTTTTGTAAACAGAAAGCTGCTGCTTTAAGTAGACAGCTGCTCTTGTCAGAATCCTTCAGTGATGTCTTGTGCCAGTACTTTTTGCCATCACAGCTCCTGTCACAGTGATGGATTAGGAAATTACTGAATGAACTGAGGATGAGGGGGTGATTTAGAGAGTCCTGTAGCAGTAATCTTTTTTACTTTAAGTTTATATAACTATAATTTTGAGCTAACTATGATCATATGATGGCTTGAAAAAATTATGAAATGCTCTGAGTATTACTTGGTTTTATTTTCACAAGTGGTCAGATCTTAAATAAGTTAGGTAAAATGTAAGGAAAATGTTGCAGATTAGTGAAATTGGATGAAACTTTTAATATTACTAAAATTGCAGATTTTGTCATTTAATAAAAAAATCGCTTTCACTGTTAGGCTATGTCTATACTACACATCACTTGGTGGGGGTGTGTAGTATACGTGGAGCTACATGCCATGGTGAAAAGGACATCTGCACTGCTGTGTGTAGCTACTTGTGTCAGTGAATGCCTCTGGCAGAGGGTATGCGGTGTGGGGGGAGGGGGCGCTCGTGCTCCAGCAGCTCCCAGTCGTTGGAATCTTTCACTGTGATGAGCAAAGGCTCTTCCAGCTTCCTGCTGCCCGTGTCTTTCGCACAGCAGGGGAAGGGCTCCATCAGTGGGAAGCTGGCAGAGCTTTTCCTTGCTGCCAACATGGGAAGAGCTCCAACAGAGGAGAGGTAGCGGGACACTGCATTGCTAAAAATAGCAGCCTTGGTGAGGAGGCCTGGCTTGGGTGAGTAGAAAGTCATGCAGGGTATGTACTCGAATACATACCCACACCCTTCAGGTGTGTCTTTACTTACCTAAGTTGTTCCTCACCACCTATGCTTCTGTTTATTCCTATGATGGGGGTGGACTACCCATGTGTGTTCTCTACACACTCCCGAAAGAAGCATGCAGTATAGATGTACCTTTAGTGTGTCATCCAAAAAAAACCAACAAAAAATTAGAAATATTGCCCAGATCTCTTTCTAATTTCCTCCACTCCACCCTGGTGGAAAATCTACTTTTCAAGAAACCAACACAATTATATTGTATAGAATACATCACCTTTCTTGGCATGTAGGTGACAAATGATGGTGCTGGCACACAAAATAAAAATATTTTCTTTTTAATGAAGCCCTGTTAAATGGACAGAAGGTCTGTATTGGACAAAGATATAGGATATCTCCATCTTTTTGGAATAATAAATGTTAAAAAGCTTGTGTATTTTAAGAAAAACTGAAACAAGAACCTGATGATTGAGTGCATTTTGAGTTTGGGGACAAGAATTTTCCTTTGAAGCATTTTTTTCCAACTAAGGGAGAGCCGGTAACAAACTTGTGAATGCAACCTCTGCATTCACAACCTGTGCATTTTTTGTCTAATTATATTAACAAGAGTGCATACGTAAGAGTGATTGTTATTATCAAGTTAACTTTCTGCTACCCTCACCCTTTTTTTTTCCCCTAGGCTCGAGAATTGCAAGCCAGAGTACTCAAACGGGTTCAAAAAGAGCAGCTGGATGCAGTTCCTGCACAGAAACAGTTAGTAGCTGAGATTTGTGCAGAGATTGCAAAACATTGTACAGCCCAGCGAAACTATGAGAAAGCAATTAAATTTTACAAAGAAGCTCTTGTTCATTGTGAAACAGATAACAAGGTCAGTCCTATCTCAAAAATAACTATTTTATGTCACCTTTTATTGAAAGGGTCTTGTCATCTAACAACTTTTACTGCTGAACTACAAAGTAAAATAAAATAATTATGCCTTTGTTGCTGCTTTAAGATGTAGAGACCATGTGAGTTCTTTTTCTACTTGTTTCTATCTTAGGGATTATCTTCACTGCAATGGCAAATAGTGTTGCCCCTAACCCAACTCCCATCCACTGGCACAAATCTGTAGCTCAAGTTAAGTGGTGCTTTCAGCATGACCTAATTGACCTGTCAGGAGGTAGGGGTTGAATTTTAAATGCTGCTGAGACTTGAGCTGCTAATGCAATTGGGAATGCAGCCATAGGCTACAGCTTGAGTTTTCACAGCTCCTCAATTGCTAATCCAGTCACTCTGTGTAGTTCAAGTATTATTCCACAGTGTGACCACTCTAAGTTGAACTGGGCTAGTTCAAGCGGAGTAACTCACACTAACTGTTGCAGTGACAATAAGCCCTTTGAAATATCAAGTCTTTAGCTTCCTGTTTTTCCTAACTGACTGGATCATACTGGGATAGTAATATCATAAGAGATGGAAACCTTAACTGTGGTTTTTTAATACCTAATTTGAGACACAGAGAAGGTGATTAGCCAGATTGATTAGAACACTGTGTTTTGTTGGAGTTAAAGGTTTTAAGAAAAATAGTGTGACTCAACATCCCTTTTCCACTCAGTTGAGTGCTGGGAAAGCTGCAGCTCATATTTCAGTTTCTTGTGATGCAACTATCCTATTTTTCAGAGAGGCTTCCAGCAACAGTAGGAATGGCTTGATATATGTAAGGAAGAATCATGCAGGAAAAAATCTTTTTTTCCTACAAAACTTGGTCACCTTTTTCACATAATAGTGAAGAAGTGCAAAAGGAAAAAAGTTAATGGAAAAATGAGCCTTTAAACAAAATGTAAAACAAAACAAAAAATTGATTTCTTGTATTCAGAGGCAACTTGTTTCAAAGATGTGATAATACATTCTTCTTCAAGTGATTGCTCATGTGCATTCCACAATAGGTGTGCATGCGTGTGTGCTCCCCCGTAGGGGAGCGACCTAGTGACCCCTGGAGTGGTGCCACCATGGTGCGGCATAAGGGGCGCTGTACACTCCTCCCACCCTCAGTTCCTTCTTGCCGCTAGTGAAGGTGCTTCGGAACTGCTCTGCTCCAGCTCTGCTGTAGCTTTCCATCTTGGACTCTGTTAGTTCATAGTTAGTAGTGCCTGTAGTTTTTAATTAAAAAAAAATAGTTTTAATTAGAATTAGTTAAGTGTGCCTGAGTCGGGGCATGCTCCGGGCTTTAAGTCGTGCGACACTTGCAAACAGCCAATGCCCGTGAGTGACCTGCACGTGGACTGTTTACGCTGTCTGGGGAAACCCATCTTAGCGATCGCTGCAAGATTTGCAGATCCTTCAAACCTCGGACCAAGAAGGAGCGGGACATTTGGCTCCGAGCCATTTTGATGAAATTGCCCTTAACCCTGACACCGCTGCAAGTCGGCACCAAACACCGCGGCATCAGTGCACGGTGACCCAATGGTGCCCTCCACAAGTCGGCACCGCTCCCCGTCCACAGGACACTCCAAAAAGGCAAAGAAGTAGTCTTCTCTGCCAAAGCACCAGAGCAAGACGGGGGGAGGCTAGACCCGCGTTGGGCAGCTCTCGGTCCCCATCAGCCTCGTGGCCTCCGACTCAGGTTGAGCAGATTAGTCCAGTCTACTCCAGGCTGGCCTCACTGGATGCCAGTGGCCACATTTGCTTCCACGCCATGCGGAGGCACCAGGCTCCTTGGCCAGCACCATGGTACCAATGGGCCCTGACACAGCCCCTGGTGGTGGTTCACTCAGTGGCCAGAGCCTCAGAAAGACCGCTGGCCTCCCTTTCTCAGCCTCCCGGAAAGGAGTCAGTGGAGCGTTCATCTCCAGGCCTGTGTTCAGAAGGGGACCAAGTGGTGGGGACACAGAGTACCCCACCCTCATCCTCCCCAGATGAGGCGATCATGGCCCCTCCTCCACCTGTCCCTCAGGAGGACACAAAAGCCCACCAAGAGCTGTTGAAAAGGGTGGCATCAAGCCTCAACCTATAAGTTGAAGAGGTGGAGGAACCCTTGGACTCCCTCTTCAACATCCTCTCGGCTTCGGCACCAGGCAGGGCGGCTCGCCCGCTCCATGAAGGGGTGGCAAAGATCTCGAACGCCTTGTGGCAAACCCCGGCTTCCCTGCCCCACATCTCTAAGAGGACAGAAAGGAAGTATTTTGTGCCCGCTGGGGGCATGAATACCTGTAAACCCACCCTGCCTCCAACTCTCTAGTGGTCGAGTCAGTCAACGATAGGGAGCAGCAAGGTCAACCTGCTCCTACTCCTAAAAATAAGGACTTGTGGAGACTAGATCTATTTGGTTGAAAGGTTTATTCGTCCTCGAGCTTCCAACTGAGGGTGGCAAATCACTAAGCCCTGCTGGTATAATTTATTGATATAAATTCAATTTGTGGGGCTCCCTGTCCAAATTTGCAGACTTCCTCCAGGAGCGTGATAAGAGTTCAAGGCTCTGGTTGAGGAGGGCCCGGCTGCTGCCAGGGCGGCCCTTCAGGCAGCCTCGGGTGCCTGGAGGGCCCGGCTGCTGCCAGGGCGGCCCTTCAGGCAGCCTCGGGTGCCACGGATACGGCTTCAAGGTCTCCATGAGGTGAGCATCGTGACTCCTGCTGTCTGGATTGTCCAGAGAGGCACAGAACTCCTTACAGGACCTTCTATTCGATGGCAAGGCCCTGTTTGTGGAACAAACAGATGTGAAGTTACGCAGTCTGAAGAGCTCCTGCATGACATTAAAGACCCTTGGCCTCTATGTCCCGGCCTCGGGCAGGACCAAGTTCAAACCACAGCAGACTCCCAGTCAGGCCACCCACTCCAGATATGAGCCCCCTTTATAAAAAGTCAAGGGACTATAAAAAGCGCCCGCAGAGGCAATCCTGGCCTGCGCCACATCCTGGGCCCTCTAAGGTTAAACAGGCGGGAAAGCGCCAGTTTTGACGGGACGCCCGGGGGCTACTTACCAGTTTATACCAGGGATCCACTCGCACTAAAGATTCCCTTCTCCAGTCGGTTGTGCGCTTTTCTTCCAGAGCGGTCACGGCTGATCTTGGACCAATGGATCCTCAACACTGTCTCCCAGGGATACACCCTCCAGTTTATTTCTACCCCAACTACCCTCCTCCATCCCCGTCCACTTCAGGGACCCCTCTCTCGAGAGCCTACTCGAGCAGGTGGTGAGGTGGCTCCTTAGCTTAGGAGCGGTGGAGGTGGTGCCAGCGGAGTTCAGGCGCAAGGGGTTCTACTCCCGCTATTTCCTTATCCCGAAGGCCAAAGGGGGACTCAGGCCCATCCTGGACCTGCGAGGCCTGAACCAGTACAAGGTGAAACTCAAGTTTTACATGGTCTCTGGCCTCCATCCCCTCCCTAGATCCCGGGGACTGGTACGCCACCCTCGATCTACAGGACAGGTACTTGCACATTCATATATTCCGGGGACACAGGCGTTTCCTCCGTTTCACAGTTGGGCAGGAGTACTACCAGTTCACTGGCCTCCCATTTGGCCTGTCCACAGCTCCCAGGGTATTCACAAAGTGTATGTCTGTGGTAGCGGCCTACCTCAGACGTCGGGGAGGTCCAGATCTTTTCCTACCTCAACGACTGGCTGGTCAAGGGCAGCTCCGGGTCGCAGGTACAGGATCCTATATCCCTCCTCCTGTCCAGCCTGTAGGGCTCTTCCCCTGATGAACTTTTCATGGCTTTATCCAAAATTGTCTCTGATGGAACCTCAGTCCCTATGATGAACTTCCCCCAAGTAAGCTTTGGTTAGTGAATATTTATATAGCTGATGCATCTTCAGAAATAGATCAGGATTGGGGTGTCAAATGTGCTAGTCTATAAAAATGTATATAAAAATATAGTTTGACTCAATTGCTTATACTCTGATTATAATCAAAGTATATTAATGAGAAGTTCTCCTTCTGTTGGCTGAAAAGACTTAAAACTTTTTGTATTTTTGTTTAGAGAGAAGTCTGTCTATCTAAGGTATAACATGGCAACCATCACCATAGTATCTGAGGGTATGTCTACACTGGAAACTTCAAAGCGCTGCCACAGGAGCACTCCCGTGGCAGCATTTTGAAGTGTGAGTGTGGTCGCGCGTGAGCGCTGGGAGAGAGCTCTCCTGGTAATCCACCACCACGAGGGTATTAGCTCCAAGCGCTGGGAGTGCGTCTCCTAGTGCTCGGAGCCTGTCTACACTAGCGCTCAAGGGGGTGATTTTTCACACCCCTGAGCCAGCAAGTTAGAGTGCTATAAAATGTAAGTGTAGACATACCCTGAGTGCCTCACCGTTTTTAATGTGTTTATCCCCACAACACCCTTGTGAGGCAGAGAAAGTGCTATTATCCCCATTTTACAGATGTGGGAACTGAAGGTTAGATTCGCTAAGTGACTTGCCCAAGAATATACAGGAAGTCAGGGAATTGAACCCAGCTCTCCTGAATTCTAAGCTAAAACACTAACCACTAAACCATCCTTTCTCTGTTACTTGCATAAAGAGGAATACTTGTATATTTTTTTCATCTCCAGGTAATGTTGGAACTTGCACATTTGTACCTTGCACAGGATGATACTGATGCTTGCCAACATCAGTGTGCATTGTTACTGAAGAATGACCAAGATAATGAAGCAGCAGCAATGGTTAGTGAGTTGTACTAATTTGATTTGCTGTATCAAGAGTACTTCATGCTAGAAAACTATTTAATATGTACTGTCTAAAATGTGCATAGAGAATAATGTATATTTTAACAAAAAAAAGTGTTTGGAGGAGATTTAGTAAATGAAGATGAACAATCTATCGTTGAGTATTGTTTGGATGTTCATTTGCATCAGATCATTATCCAGCATAGTTTATAACTATTCGTATACATAGCCTTACTATCTTGATACAGAATGCATGTTACAGAAACATGAGAAGTGGAGAGGGAATTGTAAGAAAAACACTGGTCAGAATATGGCTGGATGCCAACAGAATAAAGAGTTATGAGAAAACTCTTCTCTTAAACCACATCTTTACCATTGCACTGCTTGCCTACAAGAGATGTAGCCCAGAGTACTTTACCTACTGGACTGTGTTATTAGGTTGGCATCTGTTTGGGAAAGCTCCTTTTAACTTTAAGGTGGACAGGGTTTTAACAAGCTGCTTAAGTTACACTGGTTATGGTATGGGCATCCTCCTCTGGAAACTAGAACCTACTAAATTATGGATCAAGCAGTTGAAAGATTTTACTGTACTAGAAAAACAAACTGCTTTTTTTCCCCTGCTTATTGGAGGTCATGATCATGCCTGGATTTTATTCTGATACTATATGAAGAGCCAGGAGGAAATAACATTCAGAACAGCACTTGATAAATCTGTTCTTTTCCATCTACCTCCTAGTGAAAAGAAACTGAAATTTGGAATAATTTGGACTTATTTCTCCTTATTTGCCTGTGTTATAATAATTTTCCTCTCAGTCTTAATAACTGAGTGTTCTTCTCTATATATACTCATCCTGAATTTCTAATAAAAACACAATTCATGCTAGAAGGAATTTGTGCTTTTCTAATTTTTTTTAAATTTCTGTTAATATGTAATTGAAAAATTATGGAAGACATAACTGAAAAAAACATATTTTTTGCTCTTAACATATGGCTTTTTTTGTTTAATATTTTGAGATTAACAAGGAAGAACCCATAGGGTCAGGGGCAGGATTTCATGGTACAAACAGAAGTAAACTAATTCTCTTTAAATTGTTAATATAAATTTCAGTATATTCCCAAACAAATATTAAGTCTCCTTATTATGCATACTTTGAGATAATTCTAAAAATATTTAATTTCAGAACCCCTTTTATAGAAAATTAGATTTCATTGTTTTCGTTCTCTTGTTTACATTTTCATTTCAGTAGATTTGGGGATTAATCAAACAACCATTCCATACCATGTAACTTCTTTTTTTTATTTTTTTTATTTTTTTATTAATGTTTTGATCGTGTAGATGATGGCTGACCTCATGTTCAGGAAGCAGGACTATGAACAAGCTGTTTTTCATTTCCAGCAGCTCTTAGAGCGCAAACCAGGTGTGTATTCAGTAATGATATTTCAATTTCTTTCTGATACATGAATGTCAAACACGAGCCATCCCCTAGTTCTAATGGATATCATAGACACAAATATTTAAAGCATCTTTTCTATGACGCTTAATGATTATATCTAGATGAAATGTGCATATTTCATATAGGACCTAATATAGTTACAGAATTATTTAACTTTTTTTGTTTCAAATACACAGCCAAAGTTTGTGTGTACACAAACAGAAATAGGATTTCAAGGCTAACATAAGTAACTGGAGTGTGCTGTAAAGTTTGTTTGTTTATATGCAAAATATGAGTAGAGGTACATATAAAACTGTAAGTTTTAGTGATACTGGAGAGAGTGTAAAGTTTGCTATTGGGAATATGTTTGAAAAAAGTCAAGAGTATATGTAGCAAATGATATTTGATTTTTTTAAAATGGCATTCAGTTGGACCCATACCTACTGTAATCTGACCATTAGACCTTTTAAAATGCATTGTAAATATAATACATACAGGTACAAACGTTTTTTTTTATTTTAAATAGTTCATGTACTCTAGTTTAATTTGTAGCACGAATTGAAAGAGGGATTTACTTTATTTCTAATCTGTTTGTCCAGCAAATACGTAACTTAATTTAAAAATGTTCTAAATATATGTGTGTGTTTAGATAATTACGCAACTCTGTCCCGTTTAATTGATCTGTTAAGAAGAGCTGGGAAGCTAGAAGAAGTTCCAAGATTTCTTATAATGGCTGAGAAACATTCCTCTAGAGCAAAACTCGAGCCAGGTTTTCATTATTGCAAAGGACTGTATCTTTGGTAGGTACAGTTATAATTGATAACACTTATTGGGTAACTATATTATATATGAAAAGATAGAAAAAATTTCTTTGAAATTCATTACAACTCTGAACTTCGTATTATTACATTGGTAGCTACTTGGCTAGGAAGTCTAGATTCAGTTACTGGGATTTTAGGAGAGATTTCCTTTTCTTTTCTGAAAAACACTTTGCATGTGTCATTTCTAGAAAATGTAGCTAATTAATTGTATCTGTCTTTAATACTCCTTTCACTACTGTATCTGATGCTATTTCATGTGGAATTTTTTGCTGTTTTAATGCAAGTAGTAGTTACATTCTCAGAACTTAATATGTACACAATAAAAATACGTACCTAGTTTATTTTGAAGGCTACATTTTTCTTCTTTATTTTATTTAGCTTCTTGTCCAAACTGAAAGTATTTTTCATAACTTGTCTAGGTATACTGGCGAACCAAATGATGCACTTCGACATTTTAATAGAGCCCGGAAAGACAGTGACTGGGGACAGAATGCAGTTTATAACATGATCGAAATTTGTTTGAACCCAGATAATGAAACTATAGGTGGTGAAGTGTTTGAAAATCTGGATGGTGACATAGGGTGAGTTTAAAAATAAATACATTTTTTTTTCTTGATAACACTTTGGGATCCTAGTCTAAGTTGGAATAGACAATAAGAGAGAGAGAGCCTAAGTGTGGCACATTAAAATAAGAAAGCTACCAAATTGCAGCAAGACGATTAAGGGAATTCTGTTCTGGAACCCTAGACATTTGTAGGATGCCTTTGACTATAATTTAGAATAACTTTCAGTACAGAAGAGAACCAATATAGAATAGTCATATAAAGGTAACTATTGTATGTAACAGTGTAACAATTTTAGTATGTTATCAGTTACAGTTTGTAGCTTATTTAATAGTAGTATTGCATAACAATTGGGTGTTTTGTAAACTCTTTCTTTCTAATGTATAGTAATTCCACAGAGAAACAGGAGTCTGTGCAGCTGGCTGTGAGAACAGCAGAAAAACTTTTGAAGGAACTCAAGCCCCAGACCATTCAGGGTCACATTCAGCTTCGTATCATGGAAAACTATTGCCTAATGGGAACCAAACAGAAATCAAATGTTGAACAAGCACTAAATACTTTCACTGAAGTAGTTGTTACTGAGGTTGGTGATTTTTCTCCCGCCACTCCCCCCCTCCTTCCCTTTCTCCACAAAAAAGTACTTTTGGGTTTTTTATAATTTTTCTTGAGTTTAAGTTAAGAAATATTATGAGATACTTAATATTATCAGATCTGAGAATTTGTTCCCTACTAGGTAGAGAACGATTTTTGAAAATTTAGCAACAAAACATGCTTGAAGAAGCATTCTCTCTTGTTGATACATACATTTGTGGTTGAGTTTGCAAATTTATTAAGAAATTGGTAAGTAGGCTTACCACGCTTCTTAAAATGAAACTGATTTTTTGCTTAGTAACTTCGTCTAAGTCCAGATAATGAGCTTGGGATATGATTCCCAGCTCACATACACATTTGCGCTATCTCTCATCTGAGCTAGCATGCTAAAATAGTAGTGAACCTACAGTAGGGCAGGCAGCGGCAGCATGGGATAGCCTCCCTGAGTATAAACCCAGTGGGTACATACTCGGGCGGCTAGCCCATACTGCTGCTGCGTGTGCCATTATGGTTATGCTACTGTTCTTAGTTCAGTAGTTCAGTGAGCACTTGAGTATGCATACGTGAGCTGGGAATTGCACCCCTAGCTCATAGTGTAGATGTAGCTTTCATGTAATCTAATTCCCAGTGTTTTTAAAACTGCATGACCAATAACACATCAATTCTAAATTCATTCCATGTCCAATAACTTCAAAATTGGATGCTTTTATGTATTTTCATTGGCATTTCATTGACATTTGGTTTGGGTCTTAGCTTCTAGTTTTATCTTTCTGTAGCTGCTCAGTAACAGTATAACTTAGAAAACTTAATTTTGTTCTTAAAATGTTTTATTGCAGAAGGATCATATCCCAGCACTTTTGGGAATGGCCACAGCCTACATGATCTTAAAACAAACTCCACGAGCCAGAAATCAGTTGAAACGCATTTCAAAAATGAACTGGAATCCCATAGATGCAGAGGAGTTTGAAAAAAGTTGGCTCCTTCTTGCTGATATTTATATTCAATCTGCAAAATATGATATGGCTGGTGAACTATTAAAACGGTGTCTTCGCCATAACAGGGTAAGTGACAGAACAGTAAAGAGTAATCTTCCATATACTTATCTGTATGTTTTATTTTTAAATTTGCCCGCGAAAATGTATTTTATTTCAAAATTGATTTTTCTTATGTGGGGGAAATGAACTTGGAAAGAGTAAAAGACTAGCCGTTTACCCTTGAGAACAGGAAATGAATGCATCTGCAGATGCTACCTAATGAGCTGTCAGTAATTTATGCAAGTTTAAGCTGTGTTGAGGCACTATGGGCTGAAGGTGTCTATGGAATGTCAAGAATGCATCTCATTATGAATCTGATTCGGGGCTAATGAAAATTGCAGACAAATATAAATTGTGGACATTTTCCCTATTTTTGAATGCGTTATGTGTAGCTGCGTATACAATTTTGTATGTTAACAGAACACGTCTTATAAGCCCTATTTTACAAATTAATCTACATAAATTTTTAGTTTTTCTGATTCTTTCACCCGTCTTGCACTGAGGAGTTGCTTTTCTCTGGATTCTGAAGCTTCTAATGTTTTTATTGGGCACATGGGATTTCTGACCTGGCAAGCTGCCAGAAGCTCTGCTTGGATGGTAGGAAGTCAGCAGCTTTAGCTCTCCTGCTTAATATTTCCCATTATTTTGTTTCTCCTTGGTGGTTGAGAGCTTTCTTTTCCTTTCTGCTTAGATACATCTCACCTTCCTTCAGATGAGGCAAATTTAAGAGGCTTTTTCCTCTGCAGAGACCACACCGCAGGGTTCAGCCTTAGCATCCTGCAGGTTCATGTAGCTGCTTTTTAGGTATCTTTTAGATTTCATCTGCTGAATAGCAAGACACTACATCCTCATGTTTCTAGAGTCATCAAAGTAGAACTTATGTTTCGTTCTCCTATCAAATCTCCTGCTGTGCTTAGAAGCTTAGTTTAGTTCTGGAACTGATAATGTTCCTCTAATCAAAAATGTGCTGCCAGCAGAGGCTCCCTCTTTTACGCATAGTGGGTTAAGCATGAGAGCTTCCTCTGATTACAGTTGTGACAGGATGACTTTGGGTCAGAGGTGGTCTTTCAAGTAGGCTGTGTATTTGTTTTTATATTTAAGTAATCCACTAGTCATAATAATTCATTTCTAGTAATTTAACAGTCTTTGTTAGATACATAGTTACCATATATACAGAGCATTTTAGTTCAGGTCAATCTGTCAGTCTAACCTAAAACTAGCTGCCTGCTCCAATTGTCAGCTCCCACACTGTAGATTCTATTAGTTCTCCTACAATCACAGTAACAGCACTGGCTGGTCTAAATCTAGTGCCTTTCACTCTGAAAACCAGTAGGTAACTTGAGCAGATCCTGGACCAGTGTGGTGGGGAGGGGGATGTCATGTGCTGCTGCTGAGATTCTATAGTAGCTGGGTTGATTAAGTTACAGCTCTGTTTAGAGGTAACAAATACAGATCATATCAAATTATTTTCTTTAAACATCTTTGTACCTCTGAAATATTTAGATAGATAATAAGGTTCTGAATAATGGAAGGGAGGGGAAAGTAAACTGGAAGGATACAAAAAGATTGCATTCCAGGTCTCCAGCGCTAGAGCACAAGGAAGAGATGCCCATTCCCACATTGGCCTCCAATCCATGTGCTGTGAAGAAGGCCTGCAGGAATTGTACTGTGCAGATAAAAATGATTGCTAAAGTTTTTTGGTTTGGGTTTTTTTAAAATCACCTGTATGTTTATGGAAATAATATTTTCCACAAGCATTCTGAGTTACAAATTTGACTGACAAAATACATTATTTTGGTGAACAGGTTTTTAGGATTGCTTTTTACAATCGGAAATGAACGATGTATGTACATTTTGAATGAGAGAGCAATGTAAACACTTCGTCATGCAACATGGGTTTGTGTCCATTTAAAACATGTAGATTTGGTTTAGATCGCAGACCATATTCTGTGTTAGGTTACAAAGTCAAAGAGAGCTTTGTTTCCAAAGCTAGAAGCTTTCCATAGAATCAAGGGCTTTTTTATATATTTATTTAAAAAATACAATTCAAGAACCACTTACAGACCACAGACTTCTTCGTAAGAAAAATCATGGATGATTTTGTATTCCAGTTTTCCAGATGATCTCTGGTTGGTCTTGCAGGTTATAAATTGAAACCATTTCCTCTTAGACATAGGAAGTTCAATCTAAAACAGTTTTGAATAGTTAAGATGAAGTTGAATATAATACAGGTATCTGCATTTGTCTTGTCCCTAGTGTAAATAGTTAGCATGCTAAATGAATAATTAGGACATTAAGTAGAATTCTGTAACTTCTTTACAGAAAATACTCAGTTTAGTGGCAGGGCAATACATCTTTTATAAACCATTCAAAATGAGACTTCCAAAAAGCTTGCTTATTTTCAGAATTGTTGCTAATTGTGAGAATGCTCTGCTTTATATGTTTAATATGGAGATTCCTGTCTTTCTGTATTTTGTCAGTTTTATTACAGGCAGGGCTGGTAGTACTACCTATTCAGGTTGCCTGAAACGTCCCATTAGAAAATTGTAAACAATTTTCAGTTGTTTACAATTTTGCCAAACTATTTAACCATTCTGGCTGCAATTTTTCATGGCAGGTGTTTGTCTCAGGTTAAAAAAAAAAATTCTGGAAAATTTTAGCCAAAGCAGTTTAGCCTTTTTCTGGAATGAGGCTAGGGGAAAATACATTGTTTTGCCCATGTTAAATAATCCTGGCAGCAGCCTTTCTTTGAAAAGCACTAGCATTCCTGTGAGCAGAGACTTGAAATTTGGCGGGGGAATGGCCTTTGTGTCAGGGATGTGCCTTTTGTTGTGCCCATGAAAATCCACCAAAATTTGGCCTACTTATAAACCTTTGAAAAATAGCAGTTCACACATGCTACAGGATAATAAGGGGTAAGTAATGGCCAACGCTGATTTGTCAAGAACAAATCATGCTAAATCAATCTAATTTCCTTCTTTGATAGGTTAACTGGACTAGTTAATAGTGGTGAAGCAGCAGACATGATATATCTTGACTTTAGTAAGGTTTGAACACACTCCCACATGAGTCTTGTAAGCAAACTGGGGAAGTATGGTCTAAATGAAATTGTTAAATGGGGAGTCACTGGCTGAAAAACCATACAGAGTAGTTGTCTGTGATGTAGTGTCAGACTGGGAGGACTTTCAAAATGGGGACCGGCAGCAGTCTGTCCTGAGGTCGAAACTATTAAGTATTTTCATCAACAACTTTGATGATGAAGTAGAGAGAACATTTACAAATTTGCTGCTGAGGGGATGCAAACACTTTAGAAGACGGTATTAAAATTTAAATAAACTAGCTTAATAAATTAGAGAATTGGTCTGAAATCAATAAGATGAAATTCAGTGAAGACCAGTGCAAAGTATAAAACTTAAGGAAAAATCAAATACATAAATACAAGATGGGGGAATAACTGGATAGGCAGCAGTACTGCAAACTGGGATGGAACACAAATTTGAGTGTCAGCAATGTGGTGTTATTGCAGAGAAGACAAATGTCATTCTGTGATGTCTTAGGAGGAGTGTTAGATGTAAGACACATGCAGTAATTGTTCTACTCTACTCAGCACTGGTGAAGTCTCAGCTGGAGTACTGTGTCCAGTTTTGTGCACCATAGTTTCAGAAAGATATGGACAAACTGGAGAGTGTCCAGAGGAAAGCAACAAAAATAAAGGTTTAGAAAACTGTGGCCTTTCGGGGAAGGTTGAAAGAGTTGGGCATAGTAGTCTAAAAAAGAGAAGATTAAGGGGGGGCATAATAGTCTTGAAAGACTTAGTGTTCTAAAGAGAACAGAACACAAGAACAGCAGTACTGTGTCAGACTAAAGGTGAATGGGAATCAGTTCTCCATGTCCATGAGGGGTAAGACAAGAAGCAATTGGCTTAATTTGCCTCAAGGGAGATTTATGTTAGATATTAAGTAAAGCTTTCTAACAATAAGGATAGTTAAGCATTGGAATGGGTTATGTAGAGAGACTGGAATCTCCATTGCTAAAGAACAGGTTAGACAAATAACTGTCAGAGATGGTCTAGGTATGCTTAATCTTGCCTCAGCACAGGTGGTTGGACTGGATAACCTCTTGAGGTCTCTTATAGCCCTACATTTCTGATTCTGTGCTCAGTTGTAGTTTCTTAGGGTGTGTCTATACTACGAAATTAGGTCAAATTTATAGAAGTCGGTTTTGTAGAAAGCGGTTTTATAGTCAATTGTGTGTCCCCCCACACAAATGCTCGAAGTGCATGTAGTCGGCGGAGAGTGTCCACAGTACTGAGGCAACCATCAACTTCCGGAGCGTTGCACTGTGGGTAGCTATCCCACAGTTCCTGCAGTCTCCGCCGCCCATTTGAATTCTGGGTAGAAATCCCAGTGCCTGATGGGGCTAAAACATTGTCACGGGTGGTTCTGGATACATATCGTCAGGCCCCCCTTCCCGCCCTCCATGAAAGCAAGGGCAGACAATTGTTTTGTGCCTATTTTCTTGAGTTACCTATGCAGACGCCATACCATAGCAAGCATGGAGCCCGCTTAGCTAACCGTCATCGTATGTCTCCTGGGTGCTGGCAGACGCAGTACTGCATTGCTACACAGCAACAGTTTATTGCCTTTTGGCAGCAGACAGTGCAGTATGACTGATAGCTGTCGTCCACTTAAGCCAGGGTGCTCTTTTAACTGACCTCAGTGAGGTCAGGGGTGCCTGGGCAAACATGAGAGTGACTCAGCCAGGTCATTTCCCTTTTAAGTTTAAGTTCCCTTCTGCAGCCAGCAGAAGACGATGGCCAGCAGTCATACTGCACCGTATTCTGCCGAGCACCCAAGAGATGACGATGGTTAGCGGTCGTACTGCACAGTCTGCTGCCAGCAAGATTTATAAAGATAGATGAAGTGGATCAAAACAAGAAATAGACCAGATTTGTTTTGTATTCATTTTCTCCTCCCTCCCTCCGTGAAATCAACGGCCTGCTAAACCCAGTTTTGAGTTCTGTCCTT